ATCAGAACAATCATTCAAGCGTACAGTAGCATCAGTAGCCGCGGGGGGTGCCCTAGCTGTGCCCTGGTCAGCGACCGAAGCACGAACAGCGTTACCTGCTGCGCTCGGAGTGGCTGGTATCCCTGCGCTGGTGATCACTGATGCTGTCGGAAAATTACTGACGTCAAATGGCAGGCAGCATTTGGCGGCAGATCCTACAGGCTTGGTGAGTTGCAATACGTAACATACCTTTATAAATAACAAAACTCAACATATTATGTGATTTTAAAAATATGCTTTAATAGTTCTTTGGCCTTAGTTCACACGGACGTATTTTTAGCCCTACCAACTTCGCTATACGGTAATTCATAGATAAAAATTCATTCATTCATAAATTAAAATAATTCAGCCAGAAAATAATTAAATTTTTGTGTCAAGACCATTCGAGCAGATTTCATTGATATTGTATTCAAATACTGAATTACTACGATTACTGCGTTATGGGGTAACGCTAGTACCAACACTCGAGGTGAGGATATGCTTAATTTTATACTTAGCAATAACCTTATCTTGGCAAACAATGGCTCAAAACCAACTTTTATCAACGCGCGTTCGCAAACTATTATTGACTTAACAATGGTAACTGCTGGTCTGTCAGATCACATACAGGACTGGCACGTATCCAACGAGTTATCATGCTCGGATCATAGGTGGATCCGCTTTGCAATCAAAGGGGAGCTACCTAAACCTCAACCTAGACGTATACCGCGGAGAACCGATTTGGTAAAATTTTATAAACTTATCAGCTCTGAGGTAAACAAACTATCGATACCAACCACCATAAATATACAAGACATAGACAAACATGTAAACAACCTAACGTCCCTACTCCTGACAAGCTATGAACGGTCGTGTCCCCTTACCATACCAAGATGGGGAGGGAGACATAACTGGTGGTGCCCCGAACTGGAGAGACACCGACGGAAGGTCAGGAAGCTGTTCAATAGAGCAATGAACACACGGTTACCCACCGACTGGGACAAGTACACGGTCGCGAGAAGGCGATTCAAAAACTTTTACGTACTAGGAAGCAGGAGTGTTGGAGACACTTCTGCACCAGTATTGAAACAAACAACCAGGCAACCAGGGTGAAATCATGCCTCTCCAGAGAGCCCAATCACTCGATCGGTTGTCTTAAAAAACCTGACAATTCATTTACAAAAACTGATTCGGAAACATGTGAACTACTACTGGCAACACACTTTCCGGGTTGCATAATTGCCAACGAACAGGCCTGGCAACCATACTCAGAGAGAGCCACCGACAGCTCAGACTGGCAAGTAGCTCACAAAATAATCACTAATGAAAAAGTAACGTGGGCAATCAACTCCTTCCTTCCATTCAAAGCGGCCGGTTTGGACGGCATCTTCCCAGGTCTACTAAGATGGAGTGGGAACTTAATAGTAGACTATCTTGTCTCTGTCTTCCGAGCCTGTATAGCCCACCGATACATACCCTTGAAATGGAGAGAAGTAAAAATCATATTCATCCCAAAACCAGGTAAAGAGGACTATACCCAAGCGAAGTCCTTCAGGCCTATTAGCCTTACTTCATTCTTCTTAAAAACGATGGAGAGGCTAGGAGACCTGGAGATACGCAGCCGGGTAGCGCTATCCAAATTCCTACACCCTAATCAACATGCCTATAGCTCGGGCAAATCAACGGACTCATCACTCCACAACGTCGTGTCTCGCATTGGCAACTCCCTGAAGTTAAAGCAGTCAACCCTGGGTGCATTCATTGACATCGAAGGTGCTTTTGACAAAACGAACTTCACGAGTATAACCAGAGCACTAAGGTTATGTGGAGTACCATCAACCCTTATAGAATGGATAAACAACATGCTAAAACAACGGGCTATACAGTTCACGGTAAACTCCACAACACGAGGCATTGTCAGCAGAGGATGTCCGCAGGGAGGTGTTCTATCGCCGCTACTGTGGAACCTTGTGGTTAATGAACTAATCACAGAACTCAACGCTGACAATCTCTACACTGTGGGATATGCTGATGACATAGCTATCTTGATATCTGGGAACTTTGAAAGCACCTTATGTGACCTCATGAGAAGAGCTTTCAAAGTGATTGAGAGATGGTGCAATAAGCACGAGTTATCTGTCAACCCATCAAAAACAGAACTAATACTTTTACCAACCGAAGAGTTCTTGGACCGTACAAACTTCCGAAACTCTTCAACACTGAACTCATACTCAAGTATGAAATCAAGTACCTAGGTGTGATTTTGGACAGTAAACTGCTCTGGAACAAACATCTAGAACACAAACTAAACAAAGCAACGATCGCCTTTTATCAATGCAAAAAGATGCTAGGCGTGAAATGGGGCTTATCGCCTAAGATAACATTATGGATATACACTGCCATAATTAGGCCAATGCTAGCCTATGGAGCCCTTGTTTGGTGGCCCAGAACAGAACTTCAAACGGCAATTACCAAACTCGGACGCTTCCAAAGGCTTGCTTTGTCTGCTGCTAGCGGTTGCATGAAAACAACACCAACTGCAGCAATGGAGATGGCCCTGCAGATCTTACCCCTGGACCTACACATACAGCAGGAGGCAGCCCTGGCTGCTATCAGGCTTATGGTACTGGATCTATGGGGAAAAAATCACTACAGTGCACACACAGCGATTCTCAACAGGGCAATAGAGTATCAACCTCTTATTGCTGCGCCCTGTGATAGAATCACTAACCAATTAATATTTAACAGGAAATATCTTATACAACTGAGAGAAGAGGAACATGACCGGTCGACCGTAAATGAGCTACGTATATATACAGATGGATCCAAAACAGGGTCTGGCTCAGGCGCTGGCATATTCTCTCTTGATCTCAACATCAACATACACCTACCCTTGGGCACACAGAGCACGATCTTTCAATGTGAATGTGTCGCCTTAACCGAAGCAGCCAGAGCCGTGCAGCGGCTAGGGATTAATGACTTTGGCATTAAATTCGTATCCGACAGTGCATCCGTGCTGATGGCGCTCGGAAACAAACAAACCAACAGCAAACTAATACTGGAGTGTCATGAAGCACTGGAGGACATAACCCGAACCAATAGGGTTACCTTGCAGTGGATAAAGGGACACAGTGGATCTCTCGGCAATGATGCTGCGGACGAGCTTGCGAGAAGAGGCTCCGGAATGATGCCGGCTGGCCCGTATCCGCTCCTTCCTTTGCCCTTCTCGCTGGTGCGAACCTGGATTCGCCAGAGATCCGCTGAACTCCAGCAACAACGATGGTCGCATGGTGCGGCCTGCAGACAGTCCAAAGTGGCTTTGCCAGCAGTAAACCCGCAACTGACAAAGCGACTACTTAACTTAAATAGAACTAACCTTAAAATAATGATAGGGACAATAACGGGCCATTGCCTCCTAAATAAACATCTTTTTATCCTAGGCGCGACAGACAGCCCCTGTGCAGAGGCTGTTTCAACGCAGAGGAAACAGTCACCCACGTAGTCCTGGAATGCGAGGCTGTGGCTAATCAACGTGAAAAAATCCTCGGAACGGTGAGGTCGCTCCGGGAAGCCTGTGAAGTGCCCAGGAGACTTCTGTGCTTCTGGAAGGAGCTAGGCTGGCTAAATTAGCCAGGACTCGTACGCACAACGGACCAACCTCGAGTCTAATTGCGGAGAAAGGAGTCCTTCAACCCTAACCCCTAACCCTACTACGATTACTGTATTGATAAAAAAGTCGGTTGTCTGTAAAGTCGGTTTACTGAACGTGACAACGTGAATTAGTTGAACGTGACAACGTCATAAGAAAATACTGATGGAATGGTTGCATTTTTCAAAAGAAAATTTAAATTTTATTTGTTTGATAGATATTTTGTATGGATATAGAGAAGGAGGTAAATAGAAATCACAATTGAATTGATCAAGTTACATTTATTTGTGCGCATAAATACAATTATGTCAATTTTTAACGAAAGAACGCTGCCGGAGGCCGATTGTGCCTCTTTGCCGCTTATTCCGCGCTTTCGCTTGCTGGCCCTTAATGAAACGCCTCAGAGCGAGGTAACGCCGCATGCGTCATGTTTTTTCGTGCCTGCAGCCGGCTGCATCGAATTATAAGACGTTGTCACGACAATATGTACAACATACAACTCAAATGACGGTTAAAATATCAACTATGTCGATGTCTATTCGCCGCAACTCGCAGCTTTTATTTTTAAATTAGTATGGACGATTAAAAACAGCGTTTTAACGCATTTGTTTACGTATATTATCTTAAAATACTTTAGCAATAATTATGGACTAATATATATAACCATTTTTCAAATAAATACGATTAAAATCTTGCAGAATTTCCCGTGGGGCCAACGAGCAGTGTCTGTGTTGACGGAACAGGCGTTGCTGAAGATGGCACGGCATCCAGCACTGGTTTTATTTATCGGTAAGAAGCTTGTCTTGGTTAATTTCATGGTATTATTTTGTATTAAACATTAGCGGTAATTTAATTTGTAAACGAAATAGGATACAATTAATGTAATCCTGTTAAAATTGCAGGAAATCTATACATTCTTTAGAAATATTTTATTCATTAGTTGAAACAGGTTTCTTTGCTTTAACACCGTAATAGGGACTTTCTATCATAATAAAGACACGAAAATCAATAAATATAAATACACGATACTCACATCTATTATTTTTAATAATAACTAATACTTCAGTACAATGAGATGTGTTACTTATGTAACAATATTCATTTATCGTACTTTTAGTTTGTGAAATCACACATAATATGTTACCCCTGCTAGAACTACTCGTTGATAATAAATTACAGTATTTTTGTATTAGACTTTTTGTGAGACCTTTGTTGAAACAATACTAGGTTAGAGACGAAATAAAGTGAAAAGTTAATATCAGTGAGATGTAAAACTGCAGATATTAGGACATAGTTCAGACCCTAATGGCGGCTACGGGAGTTATTGCACTAAAATAAAGCATTATTGATATAAATTATATTAACTAGGTTAATCTGCTTATGTGAAATTTCTATTAACTGTCTTGTTATAAATGAAAAATAATTAGTTTTTTATTGCAGACGACGAGGACTCCGAAATCGAATTCGCCGAATCAGTACTAATGCCGGCAGCGGAATCATACTACGAAGAATGCAGCATCCAATATCCCGGCTTTTGTCCCTACCAAAACTCTTCTGATGACGAAAGTATGGACTTCGATTATTCCACAACAAAATCGTCCAAAATCAAGAAGAAATCCTTCAAACACGTAATGTTTTTTATAGGAATAGAAGGATCGGATAGTGCTGATATGATCAGGGAACACATAGGCTTAGACGACGCGGTGCCCATGTTAACAGCTATCGATTTCCCAAAACAACGCATGGTGACCATGAAGTTTGGGGATGAAATTACCACAGATTCAGTACAGAATTTTGTCGATGCTTTCTTAAGTGGCAACGCCGAGTTTAAGCCTTTGAAACCCTATAGTGATAAATGTTAAATATAATGGCCATTTCATTGTTTTAGTTTAGTAACCCAGATTCTGTACTAAGTATTATAGAATGTGAATGAAATTTTAAAGACCAAAAAAAGGTTTTTGCGGCAAACTTGAATAGAGTTTCGTCAAATATACTTCAATACGACTTAATTCTATCAAAATCTTAAATGTTTTGATAGTTCGGACGTGTATACATTTTCCAAACAATTTCTATAATACATGAATTATATTGAAACTGTGTATGTCCGTTTAGTTTTAAATACGGCCATGGAACGCTGATTAGGTTTTTCAAACAATTTTTAGTATATATTGCTTAACTATTCGATTTTAATTCGTGCTAAGGGCTAATCGAATGCGTATGGTTTAATCAAATTTATCGGTTTTATTTTGCGATTATTTGTAGTCTGTGCGTAAAGTGAACCGGTGCGGCCGTTACGTGAACTCATGTTATATTGTGTATATATTTATTCTTTTCATAATAACTATCGAAATATAATCACATAATACTCTGGTCAACATGACAAAAAAAAGGGTGCGTGTACTTATGTACGCGCGTAAGAAGTTATACTTCTTTCCTTTTTTACAACGTTACGATGCGGGGCGTGGATTAAGCCGTTATTGTTAATATTATTTTAAACTTTCCAGTACTTTTACACTTTAATGGCAACTTTTAGGTATAAAGAAGTGGTCACGAAACGTTTTACTATACTTGGGTACGGTACTGTACTTGGGTACAGAAAAACGTTACGGCGCGTTAAATGGGGAGGGGTCAATAATCTCCAAAAATTGCTTGTTAAATGATCTGGAAAACAAAATTGAAAAAGTTTTATAGAAAATTCATTCACGATCTACAAACTGACATGAATGAAATAATTTTCTTAGTTTCTCGTGTATCCACGCTAGGTGCAGGCTAGTCACTAGTACGTGTATTTTTCACATGTAACGATTAATCTGAAGTAGTAAATTTAAATTACACGTTGATGTGTCAGATTTTTTATAATATGTTTAAAATGGCCTTAGCATTACAATCTTTCAATTTATGTCAATTTATGATATTTTATTAAAATATCTTAAGTAACTAGGATAAGTATTATTTAACAACGTGATTTCTGCCCATTACAAATAACCTTCTTTAGTATGGAAATAGCACCTAATAGATAATTTATCAAGTAGTGTTTTTACAAGTGTAGATTTTTACCTTATGGCAATTCTAGTATTATTATTTTTATATCTGTGATCATCTTATATGTACTAATTTGTAATTATTGTAGTTGTTTATTTAAAATAAATTGCGTAATTATTGCAGTAATAAACAATATACTCATTCCATACCGTGTTGTTTTATTTCTAGCTACAAAAACAACTTCGTGGCAAAATTTTAAATTTTCAGGGCAACATTCTGCTTTTACGATTTGAAAGCCATAAAGTGAAATTTAGAAACTAAACTTATTATAACTATGACACCCGTGTGTCAAAATTATAATTGTGAAAATAGTACAACATCGCGTGCAGAATAATGTGTCTCACTTTCCACATTTAGAAAAAGGAAACGTTACTACTTCTCAATACGCACAATATATAGACATCGACGAATTTCAATAACGATACAATTTTTTTTAAATATTCTAATGTTTACCAATTAATTATAATTTAAAAAGTAAAGTTTTGTAAATTATAATTAATTGGTATTTTATGTGCGGCCCGCCAATTTTTTTTTAAATTGGCCCGTTGATTAAAAATGTTGCTAACCCCTGGTCTAGTCTAGTACGATCTTTGTGTAAGATTTTCTCATATGTTATGAAAAGAATGAAGAAGATTCATGATGTTTATAGTATATTACAATATTAATAAATCAATGTAAGGTTTTTGTTATTCATCAAGAAATTAATAAAAAAAGTTAGAAACAGAGAAGTTCGCGTATTTTAGAATAGAACATGTTTTCCCTATGACATCATATTTTAAAGAAAGGTTTAAAAATACCTAAATATATCTCGATTTTTCACAAATCTCGTTACATAAAATGGCGGTTCTGATACGAACCTAAACTTTTAAGAAGTTTTTTATTATTTGGAAGCATAAACTAAAGTGCCCTGTAAACGATCAAATTGTTTGTCAAATTTGTTTGTCAAACTTCACGTTTTCATCAAACAATAGCTTAAACGATCAAACCAAATATCAAACAATTTTTTTAACTTTCTAGTAGATTCGGGTTTCTCCTTTCGTGACGATCTTTTGTCAAATGGAAATTGTACTGTTGAAAAAAGAGTCAAACTATTTTCAGAAAACAAGCCTTTTAAAGAGGGCTATAAATTTTATCAATCAATCAAAAACAATGATTTATCCTTTTCGCAGTGTATAATGACAATAGAATGTCGTATATTTCATCTGTACGTTTTATAGTTTATGTCAACGGTTGTTTGGAGTCTATGGTTCCAACTTCCAAGCATAGCCTAAAGCCTTGCGGCTTGCGTTCTTAATTTAACCGACGCCATTATTGTGAAATAGAATTGTTTTCTCATTTCACGTGTTAATACGAAATTGTATTGTTTATTTCGTGTTGGTATTATATTCCAACCCTAAGATATGGCAGATAACGACGATCTTCTCGACTACGAAGACGAAGAGCAGGCAGATCAGCAAACAGCCGACGGAGCAACCGAAGCGGCGCCAAAAAAAGAGGTTAAAGGGTCCTATGTATCTATTCACAGCTCTGGCTTCAGAGATTTCCTGCTCAAACCGGAAATTTTACGAGCTATAGTAGATTGCGGATTTGAACATCCGTCTGAAGTGCAACATGAGTGTATTCCCCAGGCCGTTCTTGGTATGGACATCTTGTGCCAAGCGAAATCCGGTATGGGCAAAACGGCTGTGTTTGTATTGGCAACGCTGCAACAACTCGAACCATCAGAGAATCATGTTTATGTTCTCGTTATGTGTCACACCAGGGAGCTGGCATTCCAGATCAGCAAAGAGTATGAACGTTTCTCAAAATACATGGCTGGAGTTAAAGTGTCAGTATTTTTTGGTGGTATGCCAATTCAAAAAGATGAAGAAGTGCTTAAAACTGCTTGCCCTCATATAGTTGTGGGAACTCCTGGACGAATCCTTGCTTTAGTCAATAGCAAGAAGCTGAATTTAAAGCATTTGAAACATTTCATTCTTGATGAATGTGATAAGATGTTGGAGTCTCTTGACATGCGACGAGATGTTCAGGAGATATTTAGAAATACTCCTCATGGAAAGCAAGTTATGATGTTTTCAGCTACTCTAAGTAAAGAGATTCGCCCTGTGTGCAAGAAATTTATGCAGGATCCTATGGAAGTGTATGTTGATGATGAGGCTAAACTCACACTGCATGGGCTTCAGCAACATTATGTCAAACTTAAGGAGAATGAGAAGAACAAGAAACTTTTTGAATTACTTGATGTTTTAGAGTTTAATCAAGTAGTAATTTTTGTTAAATCTGTACAAAGATGTATTGCATTAGCACAGTTGCTAACTGACCAAAATTTCCCAGCTATTGGAATTCACAGAAACATGTCTCAAGATGAACGTCTCTCTCGCTACCAGCAATTTAAAGACTTCCAGAAAAGGATATTAGTGGCAACAAATCTATTTGGTCGAGGAATGGATATTGAACGAGTAAATATTGTGTTCAATTATGACATGCCTGAAGATTCTGATACTTACCTACACAGAGTCGCAAGGGCTGGTCGATTTGGTACAAAAGGCTTGGCAATAACTATGGTTTCTGATGAAAATGATGCAAAGATCCTTAATGAAGTTCAAGATCGTTTTGATGTTAATATCACCGAATTACCAGAGGAGATAGAACTGTCAACTTACATAGAGGGACGATAAATTACAACATCCAGCATTAATTTAAGTAATTCTAAGACTAGTTATAAAACATTACCTTGTGTCTAATACCCGTTTGAATAAAAAGTTTGATGATCAACAATAAATAGACATTTGGTATTTTGCTTCTGTGTTTTCTTTTAGTCATGTTGTTAAATTAATTGAAAATTACTTTCTAACACAATAGTCTGAGTTTAACACTACCACTGGAAAAAATATAAATAATATTATTAAAGCATAGCTTAGACTGATTTAAGCTAAGGTGGTGCTTGGGAAAATGAAATCTTAATTTTAAGGATTAGTAAAAAAAAATGTTTTGTTCTTAGGCTTTTTTATCAAAATTTTAAAACAAAGGCAGTTAACTAATTACAAATACTTCTACATAAACCATTTATTTTTATAACAATAATCTTTGACAAGAATGAAAAATAACTATTATTTACAGAGTATTCTTAGTAAACATCTTTTCATGAGTGAGATGAGTGATCATATCAAGAGCCCATTTTGGTTGATCTCCAGGCACCATGTGGCCTGCATTTCGAACCATTAATTCCACCAGCTTTCCTGCTTGCTTCACATAACCAGCCAACTCACCATCAACCTTCCATTGGTACCTTTTAGCAGTCTTATAGTCTCCTGCACCAGTAAAATTGAGATTTCTTAAGTAATTAAGAGTATTTGGGTAAGCAACAATAATATCAATTTGACCATTGTAAACAACTACATAATAATGATCAAGTAACTCAGAGATCCATGGAGCAACAGATTGCATTATATCTGCTTTCAAGTGTTCTTCAACCTCTTTTCCACTGTTAAATGGTAGGGCACCAACATGGATTTCCTTGCGAACAGAAGATTTCTGTAACATTGGTCCAAAATCCATCTTAGTGAAATAATCTTTTGTATGTAAAAAGTTAAAATAAAACTCAAATCCAGTCATGTTGTAAAACAAACTTTTACCATCAATTAAATCTCCATTTAACAAAGTATCAAACGCCTCAAAGGCAGGAATCCATTTCTTTTCTTTAATTAGAGTGACGACTTTGTCTTCATACTCAGCAAATACCTTAGCTTGGTTCCAATCTAACAAACCAATTTGATATAAATATTTACTGTACAACAATTGATGTTCGGGGTCACTCAAGCCATTTCCTATAGCAATAGCTTTAAGATTAATTTTTAATTGCGCATTCTGGTTTTTTTTATGAATAGTGTAAGCCAATGCTGGAACATATTTACCAGCATAGGACTCTCCAGTTATAAAGAATTTATTTTTCTGTAGTTCTGGAAAGAGCTGAAAGAACTGTATTAGAGTATTATACAGGTCCTCACCAACTTGAGTCTGGTTTGTACAATAGCCTTTAGGATCCTTTGTAAAGCTAAAGCCTGTGCCAACAGGATTATCTATATAGATAATGTGGTGACTAAGAGCCCAGTTATATTTACGTCTTTCAAATTTACCATCTCGAACTCTTAGCGGGCCATTTTCAGTAAAAAGTCCATAAAGGGAGGATGCTCCGGGACCTCCTTGAAGCCACACGATAACTGGCGCATCCTTATTATTTGGTACCATGGCTGGGAAGTACCAGAAAAATTGATTTGAATCATATTTCTTGTTGACAGTAAAGAATCCGGAATAACTCTTAATACGTAAAGCTTCTGTGAATTCAACTCGAGCGAGTCGTCGACCTTCCGTTATGTTACCACTTTCAACATACTGCGTCAAAAACAATGGTGATCCAGGATCTCCACCATCTGGCTCTGTGATATTTAGTTTTGGATACCGGTAAAACATACACTGCACTGATAAAGCTTGAATTATCATTAAAAGCCACAAAAAAGACATCTTGCGACTACCGAGTACAGGCACTAATAGTAGAGACTAGTTCTGCATAAATCTGTAAATTAAAGTAGGTATTAAAGCGTATCAATTAAAAGATAATGAAATTTAAATTTCGGCATCTGTTATTTAAATTTCGTAAATGCCAACTACTTTGCAACGGTTATGCGATAAGAAAACAGAAAAAATGGCACAGTCACACATTTAATGAACTTATTATCTCTATAATGTCAAAGGTTATGAAAATACCTATTAGGGGGGGGGGGGGGGGGGGGGGGGGGGGGGGGGGGGGGGGGGCGGCCCGGGGGGGGGGGGGGGGGGGGGGGGGGGGGGGGGGGGGGGGGGGGGGGGGGCGCGGGGCGGGGGGGGGGGGGGGGGGGGGGGGGGGGGGGGGGGGGGGGGGGGGGGGGGGGGGGGGGGGGGGGGGGGGGGGGGGGGGGGGGGGGGCCCCCCCCGACAAAAAAAAAAAAGGGGGGGGGGGGGGGGGGGGGGGGGGGGGGGGGGGGGGGGGGGGGGGGGGGGGGGGGGGGGAAAAAAAAAAAAACACCAAACAAAAAAAAAAAAGAGGGAGGGGGGCGCCCGCCCCCCCCCCCCCCCCCCCCCCCCCACAAAAAAAGGAGGAAAAGGAGGGGGGGAGGAGAAAAAAAAAAAAAAAAAAAAAAAAAAAAAAAAAAAAAAAAAAAAAAAAAAAAAAAATTTGTTTTTTTTTTTTTTTTTTCCCTCGCGGGGGCGGGGGGGGGGGGGGGGGGGGGGGGAAGAAAAAAAAAAAAAAAAAAAAAAAAACAAAAAAACAACCGCGCGCGGGGGGAACGCCCCCCCCCCCCCCCCCCGGCGGGGGGGGGGGGGGGGGGGGGGGGGGGGGGGGGGGGGGGGGGGGGGGGGGGGGTTTTTTTTTTTTTTTTTTTTTGTGTTTTAAAACACAAACCCCCCCCCCCCCCCCCCCCCCCCCGCGGGGGGGGTGGGGGGGGGGGGGGGGGGGGGGGGAGAAAAAAAAAATTTTTTTTTTTAAAAAAAAAAAAAAAAAAAAAAAAAGGAGGAGGGCCACCAAAAAAAAAAAAAAAAAGGGGGGGTGGGGTTTTTAAAAAAAAAAAAAAAAAACCCCCCCCCCCGGGGGGGGAAAGGGGGGAAGAGGGGGGGGGGGGGGGGGGAAAAACCCCCCCCCCCCCGCGGGCGCGCCCCCCCCCCCCCCCCCCCCCCCCCCCCCCCCCCGGGGGGGGGGGGGGGGGGGGGGGGGGGGGGGGGGGGGGCGGGCGGCCGCCCCCCCCCCCCCCCCCCCCCCCCCCCCCCCCCCCCCCCCCCCCCCCCAAAGGTTATGAAAATACCTATTAAAACAGTAAACAGGGATTCCACTCTTCATTAGTTAGTCCATTGAAATGATACAATTTGAGAATTGAGGGCCAAAGACCCAAACTGTACATTTGTCAAAGGACGCAATTTTATTTTTGGGACATGTAGGGGGGGGTCTATAGTCAATACATGCTTTACTTAAACCCAAGTTTGTGGGGTTAGCGCCCTTGTTTTTGGCTATATCACCTAAACTATCCATCGTACAAAAATTTGTAGACATATTTTGTAGCAAATCGCTTTGCCTACAATTATGTTGCCGAGGCTTTTTATCATAAATCCTAAATTCAAAAATTATGTGAAAATAAATCCTTTTTTGCTTATTAACTTCTTAATTTGATTTTATCAAAAAATTATGTCAGATCTTTTTCGTAGAGGATCTGTTTCTGAAAATTTTCCTCTATATTTTTTTAAAATTTTGTGAATTGGAAACGCTGTTACAGCGCTGCAAAGTTGACCGCGTTCGTGAATGCTCATGACAAGCCGGTCAAAACAACATTTTTACTTTACTTTTACGATCTCTCGTTTATTTTAAACAAATTTTCGAAAATTTTTGTTCAATTCCAACAATTTCACTAATTTATTACTGACTCTATTCCTCGTTTTTTTTACGTGTCATCCCCAGTAGGCCTATTCCACAAACAAGTAACAACTTAACTTTCGTTCAACCAATCAGCGCGAGAGGTGCGTTCCGTTTCACAATTTGACGGTTTCACTTCGATAGATTTAGAATAATAATACGTTAAATCGTAAGCCGTAAGATTTCAATCTAACGGTGTTTACAATTTTATGGTGACATACATGATAATCGGAGGCGCGGAGGAAGAGCAGCCCCCACCCGCTGTAACAAAGCACTTAGCAGTTAGCACAGGCATTATGTTAGGCGTTAGCCGTAGCGGCTAAGGCTGGTCATTCATACGGATATCCGTATGAATAGTCACTGCGTAATTTAAATATAAGGGAATCGATAAGGTCAATAAATTTTTTGGCCCTATCTGAATAATAAAACCTATGTACATTGTACATGTTATTTCAGTATTTTACATACTAGGAACCTAGGAAGTAAGACAGTGACATTCGGGACAGAAATGGAAACTTAAGAAATAAAACTTTGCCGGCTGGGTAAATACTAACGTTTCCTATAGCTTCTTCAATTTACTACTTACTTCGTATTAACTACTACATAGTTAAATCTTGGAACAAGAAACAACAGCTGTGTAAAATTTACGATGGACAGTTCAGTATGTTTGTTTACATATTTAACTGTTTTACTAATTTGTAATGTAGAAAGTTCATTTTTTCCATATGTTTATCCTAGAATAAATTTACAATCTAAAATGAACAAGATTTCTGGTGATGCCTTAATACTTACCCCTTATTTGGAGCGTCAGGAAATTGATTTGGCACGGAATCTCTCCTATGTTCAACTCACAGAGAAAATGGGCTTCTCGAGTCATGCCGGTTTCTTTACTGTCGATAAGAAGTATAATTCAAATTTATATTTTTGGTACTTTCCTGCTTTTAATAAAAATAAAGCAGCACCTGTCGTTCTGTGGCTGCAGGGAGGTCCTGGAGGCAGTTCACTTTTTGGATTATTCACTGAAAATGGACCCATAATTGCCAAAAAAGGAGGCTTTGCTCGAAGAAAATATCACTGGGCGGTGGAAAACCATTTAATTTTTATTGACAACCCAGTGGGAACAGGATTTAGTTTCACAAATGACAGTAAAGGATATTGTGAAGATGAAGCATGTGTTGCTAAAGGGCTCTATGTGAGTTTGCAACAATTCTTTACTTTATTCCCAAACTTGTTTGATAATGACTTTTATATTACTGGAGAATCATATGCGGGAAAGTATATTCCATCATTAGGGCTATATATACACCAAAGAAACATGGTATCAAAACAAAAGATTAATTTAAAAGGAATGGCATTGGGTAATGCTTATTGTGACCCAATTAATCAACTAGACTATGGAAGTTATTTGTATCAACATGGATTGATTGATTCAAATCAGCAGGATGTATTTTATCAAATGCAATCAAACATAACTAAGGAAATAAAGAAACAGAATTGGCTCAATGCTGGCATTCTCATGGATCAATTAATGGATGGAGACATGTCAAACTTCTCATACTTTAAAAACTTCACAGGTTTTCTAACATATTACAATTTCTTGATGATTAACAATGAAATAGATGTACCTGTGTTTAAAGACCTTCTCAACAATGATAAAGTAAGAAATAGTATTCACGTCGGAAACCTGCCATTTCATGATGGAAAGGAAGTAGAAATTTCTCTGGCAGCTGATATTTTGCAATCAGTAACAGCTGAAATATCGCAGCTTTTATCATATTACAAGATGTTATTCTATAATGGACAATTAGACATTATTGTTGCTTATCCCTTAACAGAAAATTTCTTGCAACATTTAGATTTTTCTGCATCAAATGAATATAAAACAGCTGTAAAGAAAATCTGGAGAGTTGGAGATGATATTGCAGGATATTACAAAAAGGCAGGAAACTTGACTGAAGTTTTAGTACGAAATGCAGGACATATGGTGCCAGGTGACCAACCTAAGTGGGCATTTGACCTTATAAGTAGATTTATAAAAAACAAATTGTAAAACTATTTTTATTAAACCTTTTTTAAATTTCAGAGGATTAGCCTCATTAATAAAGCCAATACTCATCAATAAAATTTTATATTATGAAAAAATAGTGTTATGTTTTAGAAATTCTAATTTTCTGGATGTGTATCTAATAAAATAGGCTTACATCTTAATTGTGAGTTAAAGAACTTAACAGAATTTTCTTAAGATGGTTAAGAATCATGGTCCACAGCTTCAAGTATGTTTAATAGAAAAGGAAAAGACAAGGTTTAATACAAATTTAATCACATTTTCTTAAAAGTACACATTAAAAATAAATAACAATTCCACTAGATAATTGGAACATTCAGTCCATTTCAAACATACCACTCAATAATTATTTACAATGTCAATTCTACTTATCTAATATTATTCTCAATTCAGCTTATATTTTCAGATTAAAATATTTATTACTGGAATAAAATTTATTAACACCAAATATAAAAAAATGTTTTTTCACGAATTCTAAAGTTATAAGGTAGTTAATGTTTTCCATTCAGGTGGAGGTTTTGGTGACAATGTGCATTACAAAATACTATTAAGCTACTATACAACTTGTTTTATCTTAAAACAATGTGATGTTATATTGCTATGGTTACTTGGATGGATACAAAATATTTACAGAATATTATATTTATTCCAGGTGGGTCAAATTATAAAATATAATGACAATTATGAAAAATGTGGTCTTAAAATGTTTGTAATTACATGCCACATGTAGTCAAAAACTCAGATTTGTATATCAGCCAGGAAAATTATCCATTATAAGAATACTATAAATAATATGGTAATGACACTAGTTCAGTCCTCACTGCTGGTCACATGACCATTTTCATACAAATTTGACTGGGACATGACTGAATCGAGCCTGTAGCAAAATACTTAAAATCTTGTATAAAATGAATTTTGCCTTTGTATAAATTCATTTCAGAAGTTCCTAGTATGGCTTAACACAAAGTACCACTAGGCATAATCTTTTCTTGCGTACTGACATTAACAATCTTGCTGGCTAAGCAATAAAACAGTTATCCATCGTACAATACTCCTTAGGCTAGTAACGCGGTAAGAGCATCGAGAAACTGTGTCCTTTGACTCACAGGTAGTACAAGAATAGAAGTGTCAACATAGTCTAAGATAACGGTGGCCCCACTTTTCTGCGCTGCTTGTTCAAAAGCTGCTCCAAATAAGCTAGAAATTGAAATAAAATATATTATGCTTACAATTTTAAAATAATAATTATTATTATACAAGAGGTATTTGTAGATGTCATATAATGTAATGTTGATGTAATATCTTGTTGCAATTTTTGAAGTTATACTTCCTTAGGCGCGTTATGAAAAAATTTATGAGAGTGAAATTTTATGATACGCGCGCACCGTGACACAAAATTAACAGAATGAAGTTAGTGGCGCATGTTGGCACTCACGACGCCTCTGTTCACTGTGTATTTATATTTATAATATTTATCCACATGCTTTGAGTTTCTACATTTAAAACACGTGTTTTCATTTTGTTTTCATTATACAAGTGCGAATTTAATATGTGCGTCTGAATTATAATCAGAAGTGATTTAAATTGAATATTTAAATCAATACTTATTAATATTAGAAAATAATAATATATATAATATTAATAAATATTTATTTATTTAATTTTTCAAATGTAAACTGAACTTTATTGACTATAATGACTCCTTTTCCAGTCTTCGATTATTTAATTGTAATTAATTATTTGCATGAAATCAAAAACTATTTTTAATAATGCCAAAGAAGTATAACTTCTTACGCGCGTACATAAGTACACGCACACTTTTTTTTATACAATTAAAATAATGATATAAGTTCAATTAGTAACATTTCAATACACATACTTATGTGGCTCCTCGTCATATCTCGGGGGTAGTCCAAGAAGCAGACACTGCCCATTGGGTAGAGGGGAACTTGCTACTAATGGTTTAGATCCGCTTGTAGCTGATGCAATCCATCGAGCCGCTTCACCCAGCCATAGTGGACCCTTGACCATAGCAGATTCTGAAGTACCCTGGAGCAAATAATCTGTGCTAATATATGCTGGAAAATCTTGCGGGAATATTCAAAACTTAAAATATTTTTGACATACTAATATTTCATTATTAAGAATCGAAATATATTACGCTTAGACCTTAGTTTTCCTTTATAAAAAAATGCAATTTATATTTAGAGGAATTTTTATTTAGGCATATTAAGAATAACTCAGCTGATATGTTAAAAGTTTGCCTGATACCTCTTGAACTATAAAGTAGTTGAAAGGTCCAGCCAATAGCAGTCCTCGTGATGAAAGTATGGAATGAGCTAGTCGAGCCACAGCCTCCAAGGCCTTTCTCGCAGCTGATACTCCTGAACAAAAATAGTATGTTTTGTATTTATCTGCCGATAGAAAAATTTCTATAGTTGACACGTGGAAAATATACAAGCGGAATACAACCGGAACCTAGTTACATGTGTAGACATAAAGATAATAATACTTTTTTCACCAATATAAACGCAAATGTATTATATTATTTGCCGGCGCTATAAGTTTTAAATTTAGAACCCAATCCAGATGTGCCATATTTATTCCACTTATTTTTTAATACATTTCAAGTAACTCAACTAGACCTTTTGAATAAAACCACAGAATATTTTTTCTTTACCTTGCTTCAGAGATTCATTCTCTCCGCTGACTTGAAGCACTGACAGAGCCTTTTGAAAGCCTTCTGCTTTTGGTAATGTCTCCTGAAATATAATATACATAAATATGTTACATACCACCGACAGTAAATTAACAAAGATAAACAGAAAAAGTTAAAAAAGAACTTATTAAGTGTGTGATTTTCCATACAGAGGTGTCATTGAACGGATGAACTGTTCGAAACCGGCATTAAATATCTACCGGGAATTAGGACTCTATACAGATAACTGTAATATACAGATTTTACTTCCATGCAAATCTCTTAAAAAATTCCTAATTATATATGTATGTTTTTTTTATTTGGAATTACAAGTCGATCGTTTTGAATGCGTTTAAGCGCCTACAGTAATTACTATAATATTTCTTATACCAAGATTTACATACACGTAATTTTTTTTAATAACAATGTGACTTCGAACTTTGAGTAATAACAAAGTTCTAAAATCTAAACGATCGAACAATAGTTACACTAGAAGTTGTTTTTAATTAGACTGCTATATGCAACGATACTTGAACGAAAACTATTTTAATCCAGAATTGTATTCAATACCTTTTTTAATAAACAAAGAAGTCAAATGACGCTAACGAACTTTACTTATGTGTTTGTACGAGTTTTGTTCCGTTTCCCTCATACTGTGATACGAAATATCAATTTTTTAGGTTGATAATGAAGAGATATTAAAATACAGCAGGACAGAAGCTGACTATAATCGTTGACTAAATTCGTGTATGTGGTGATGTTGGTTATTTCGACTATGTATTTGCGTGTTGTTCCCACGAGAATGTAAGTGCGTGCTCCTATTTCACCATGCCTCCTGCTGATAGAGGACAAGTCTTTGTTTTTAATTTATGTTATTACATATTATTAATTACTTAAAATGTCACATGGGACATGGTGTAATGGTTGCAGCTCCTTACAAATTTTGTAAAACAAAAAAATGGCGATTAAAAAGAGTGGCGGAGAGTTTATTGCCAGTGCTTCTCTCCCGTTCTACGCCCTTGATTTGAGAACTGGCAGTAAATGTAAAATTAGAAGCATTAATATGTATTTCTTTACTGAGAAGTCATAAGTGTACATTATGTTACCTACACGATTAAATGATTTTTTACTTTTAATCACCTCGTATCAGTGTGACAGTTAAAGAAGTGAAAAATATTAAGGAGCAGGCAGCTGATAGTTAACTTAATACTATAAGTAGAACTCTACACTTGTAGATATAAAAAGGGTGCGTGTACTTATGTACGCGCGTAAGAAGTTATACTTCTTTGGCATTATTAAAAATTGTTTTTGATTGCATGCAAATAATTAATTACAATTAAATAATCAAAGACTGGAAAAGGAGTCATTATAGTCCATAAAGTTCAGTTAACATTTGAAAAATTAAATAAATAAATATTTATTATTATTCTCTTACATTAAGTGTAACATAAATTGTATTATTATTCGCATGTTGTTTTTAAATTATATACAATGCCGTAGCATCTTCCGTGGGCAACTTCATTCTGTTAATTTTGTGTCACGGTGCGCGCGCATCGTAAAATTTCACTCTCATCTATTTTTCATAACGCGCCTAAATAAGTATAACTTCAAAAAAAACTTACGTGTTCTATTAACGCCATGATAGCATACACAGTGTCCAACGCCGCCAATGGTTGGGCATGGGGCTTCTGTAGTAAGAAAGTGGCACGAGTAGGGACGGGTAACTTGTGCTTAGGCGCAGCTGTCTCCAGAGCTGTAAGAAGACAGCGACGAAGTTCCACGTCCATAGAACGGTAGGCTTGGCGTGCTTGCTGGAGGGGAAACCTGAAATACATTATGAAATCTCAGCACATATTCATTAACGCTTAAACAGTTACGACACGCCAAGCAAACATTTAATCATAAAATTACTCATATCAAGTAAGCACTTATTTAAATACTAATATTAAAAAACTAAATATATTAAATATGTAATAATACTAATATTTAACAATTGCTCGAACGGTGAAGGAAAACATCGTGAGGAAAGCGACATGTCTTAGAGTTTAGACCCAAAGAGTCGACGGCGTGTATCAGGCACTGGAGGCTGATCACCTACTTGCCTATTAGATTTAAAAATGATCATAAAACAGATTCAGAAATCTGAGGCCGAGACCTAAAGAGGTTGTAGCGCCACTGATTTATTTTTTAATATTAAAACACATCACCTAGAAAAATACTAGGAAAACTCATTAAAAAAAGTCAAATAACCAAAGGAATTCAATACTTTTTGCCGCGCACCACCTCCATATGGAACCATCGAAGTACGCTTCCTGCCCTTATTCTATAATTAAAGGAACCTGCATTCTACGAATATTGCAATATTAATCTTTACCCAGTCAATTGGCCTTCCAATAGTTTAATTTAATTTTGAAACTCTTAAGATACAGTACCAGCATTAATTTATACCATATTCAAAAGTACCGCTTAAAGATTCATTTTTATGTTTCAAAATCTTATATTTAACAACTATTGCAATTCTATCAAAGTCAAACAACAAAGAAAAGCTAAAGTTATCTCCTTTAACTTACCCCATATCAGCTAATAACTGTCTTAAGCGACTTGCTCCCGAGCTCGCGTGTAACTTTAACTTAGGGGCAAAGCACGAAGCGTGACTTAGAGCTCCTTCCACTGACCACCAACGGTACAGAGGGAGCCACGCGTCTTTTTCTACTACTACGTGTGCTGTCTGTAAATAAATATGTTTTTAAAACAAAGTTCCTTAAAAATACTTGTTTAAATCATGTTGTGTAACACATTTACTAATTTTAAAACATAAAAAATTGACTAAGTTGGTCTTGTGTTTTTACTAGCATTACATTTGCGCCTTGTACACATGTAACGCGCGTTAACGCAGGTCAACGCGCGATCAATTCATTCTCAGTTCAAATGACTGAGAATTACCGAGAATGATGTTTCGAGAGCGAGAGTGTCAGTCGTGTTTCGATAGAGCTTAGAAAATGGACGTGGAACAAGCTATTATTTTGTGGTTATATATCTTCAGATTCACTCATTTTGAACTGAATACGAAAATAAGTCACAAAGAAAAGGGGAATTGCGATGAAAGTGCGCGCTCAACGGAACAGTCACCGAACGTTACATAACAAAGCGCGCGTTCGCCTGTGTCCCGAATTTTCTCTGAGCGTCAACGCTCGCTGACACGCGTCACGCGTCATGTGATCGCTTGTATGTAAATACCACGATGTCTAGTCAAAATTTTGCCATCTGAACATGGTCTTAGGGGCTGTCCATTAATCGCGTGAGGTTCGAAAAGCAAGAGAGTGAGTCTCAAACCTCACTATGTATCACCATGGGGGAGGGAGGGGTTAAAAAACATCACGAGATTAATGGACAGCCCCTTAAGATAGTATGCATCAAAACAACAGCGCTTATTCTAGATTCTAAATGCACCTAGTTCAAGAGCTATCAAATTTTTTTTTTAAATAGTCAAATCAATACCGACTTGTGATACCTTTGTAAAATAAGCCGAAGTATTGGTCCTTCGCCCAGATAGAATGCTTACCGTACTATGTCTTTGGGTATGCAAACAGCGGTTCAGGGGTTCAGCGTCAAGCAAACACTGTGCGGGTGGTCTTAGGTGTAGAGCCGAATGAGTAGCGCAACCAACCGCACCCGCCCATAAGGCTGATGCATTACATCGTGACGCTCGCACTGCCAGCTCTAGGGCTATACATGCGCTCTGAAAAAATTAGCAAAACTCGATAAACAATCTTGAAAGAGAACGCTGAAAGAGAATAATGTTATGTCATTACAGTTCGACAATCATCTTGATACTTAATATACCAATGTGGCCAACACTTCTACTGAATTGTTTGAAGTAACTATTGCTATATTGAAAAATTTAAGTATGCCAGGTAGAAAAAATTGAAAATCTGGAACTTTCCACCATCCTTGGGGTTTATGGGTGGTTTAATTGTTTAGATATTTATCCAAAAATTGTTTTATGTATGCCCTTATTCATGGAATGACCCCTTATTTGACCCAGTGAGTATCAGAGTGGTATGAAATGATGTAAAGTTGAAAGAATAGAGGTGGAACGAGTTATTTTATACATTTGCGTCATTTAATTTATCTGGGAGAGATGAGAATTTCTTAGAAGATCCTCCATTTTTTATAGGACAAGTATTGTTTTTCATGTTGAGTTCATTATTTTTATAAGATTTATTGTCTCCAGCCCCCACTCGCGTTTATGTGCTGCGTGAGTTATGGGGTTAAACTCAACAGAGCGGAAAGCTTTTGACTTAGTATTTGAAAGAATTTCTATTTGGAGAAGTAACTGGCATCGCAAAATCTCTTAGGAAATTTGACTTGAGTTAAGAAATTAGCTGAGAGCGGAAAGTATTGGACTAAGTATAGCCATTATGGAACCCCTTCTTCTTATACTCAATCTGACGTTTTCCTCTAATACACAGTAAACAACCGCCAACTTGGGCCGTCTGCGGCCCAGCGCACCGCGCGACAGCGAGTTTTTATATAAAACTCAAGCTTTATTTATTTTTTCATCTTATCAATACCTACGTTTATATAATCGTATCGTAATCTTTAATCTTAATATATATTTTATTACGTGTCACGTTGTTTATCCGCTATGGACTCGTAAACTACAGAACCGATATCAATCAAATTTGCACACCGTGTGTAGTTTGATCCAACTTAAAAGATAAGATAGCTTACATCTCAATTTATACCCGAAATATTATTTTATTGCAAAATATTTGTTTATTATTTGATAGTCACAATTCTAACAGATGGCGCTGTGTTGAAAGTACCAACGTTTCACATAAGCTACAATTTATGCACCATGCCTGGTGTTCTCCTACCGTTTCCCTTGAATAGTTTGCTACTATGTAATATAACAAAAACCTTGGCCACAGCAACGCTTGGCGGTCAGCTAGTAGAAGTAGTGTGTTTAGAATCAGTAAAAATCCTCGTTAATTGAAGCTAGTTTAACATAAAAATACTATATATATTATACCTTTTACCCCTTATAGATGTTTATTATATGTATATTGTATATATTATAGTAATCAATTTTATATTAATTATTATTCTTATTTAAACAACAGTAATATCTTACAGGTTTCCCATAGTAGGAGAATTGTGTGTAATTAAACATAAGAGTATGTCTCTTCTCTTCCCATGCCTTTCTCTCTCTTCGCCGTTCCACTACCGCCTCTAATCTCTCTGTACCCTGAAGGTTTTCATCAGGCACCTGAAACAATACAATCATAATTATGACAGCGATAAACTCTTTTTATGTACGTGATATGATAATAACAATGAGAGGTGACTTTTATTAATTAAAAATATAAATTGGTTATGATTCACGGTATAAATAATAATCGAGAAGCGCTACAACAACCCTTCAAGGGGTGTGATTCCAGATTGCATCTGTTCCTTTGATCATTTGTTAATAGAGAAGTAGATCCTAAGCGATCTTATGCCTTTTGTGTCTAAGAGATGCCAGTTTCTTCATGATAACTACCATCACCATAGCAGCAAGTGTCTAATGTGCATTTAGAAAGACACTATTATTGCCCAACTATGATTTGAACTCACAACCTCAGGGTTGAAAGTTGCATGCTTTTGCCACTAGGCCATCACTGTTCCTTTATGCTAACAACTACTTTAAAACAATTTAAGATACGCACATCTTCATCTTCATCTTCTCTGAATATGTCATCAAAATTTGGAATGTTTTCTTCATCATCTTTGTAAACTAGCTGCACCTAAAATGTTATAAATTGTAAAACAATAAAAATCAAAAACTGTACTTATATATGCATAATCTAAAAAAAAGTACAAACAAAAAATTACAGCTATGTGCACAGAATCTGATAAATTGACTGGTAATTAGCTCATATATAGCCATGAACAAAAAAAATATGATGTATTTGTTACTATTATTAGATATATAAATATTAAAGGGAGAATTTAATTTAAATACTTTCTGTATTTTTAAAAAAACCTTTTCTGTGATTCCTCAGTGGCTGCATAGTGCAGAAACTTTGCTGTCTATTTCACAGACCATTTTCATAAATAGAAAGGCAGGTAACAGTTTTCAGTACATTTTATCCAAAAGAATCAAAGTTTCACCAGGTATTAAACCTAAGACATCCGGGTATTATGTTTATTCTAAATCTTATGTTTTACCAACCATGCCATGGAAACAACATAAATAAATAAGCTGACTTGCACAGCTATTTTGTTTTCTTATACTATATAATAAATCACAAACCTGTCCATCACTATAAACATTGCAAATATCAGTAGGTTTATGGGAGTCTAATACAAAAAACACAACATCTTCTTCTGGTTGAAGTATATCAACTAGGTCTATAGTCCCGCCACAGTTCACTAGGACCACATACTTGATCTCTTCATTATTTTCGTCATACGCAGTCTTTAACTCGGAAATACCACCAACTGGCACTAGTGTGTAGGAGATATTATCACATTTAAACAAATCCTGTAGTATCTTGCACGCACAAACTGCATCCACATCATAATGGACTAGCAATAAGACACGCTGAAATGATATTAGAGATTATAATCGTTAGGCTACTATCTACCTGTTCTGGAGCTACCATCAGTCAAGTTACAATTTCAAGAAGTGAATGAATTTCTAATTTTATAAAGTTTTTAATCGAAAGCAACTAATTTCATAAACTTTGACTTAACGAAGACAAAAAAAATATCCATAGTTTTCGATTAGCAGAATTAAAAGTCCAGACTACAAGCAATTAAAGTTAGAAATAAACAAGACTACTTACATTTCCAAGAAGCAAGTTGTAGAAATCATTTTTGATATCTTCCACGAACATTTTATATCCTCCGTGGAAGAGATAAATATCATGAAATCATTTTTGAAATAAATAGCGTGACAAAAATCGTAGTTAACCAAGCACCTGTTAAGTTTTCTATCGACTTTTGCTAACATTTATGTGACAAGGGTGAAAAGTAAAAACTAAAAATGACAATGACATCAACAAACTTTTCGCGCCAAAATAACGAATCGGAACGTTCTATATTTTTTTTAATGGCTCTGGCACGGTTTGTGCATTAGCCAGCGTCAAGTATGGGATTTTTATCATTCGTGCTTTTTGCCTTAGAAATTCGATCATGTCCTCCATGTACGGTTTAGGCACTCGCCCGGTACCGCACAACCCTCCCAAAGGCCGAGAACAAATTTAAATTAAATTAAAACTTGCCCTCGAACCGGGAATCAAACCCGGTACCCCTCACCTAGCTGCCACTTAATAAGACCGCTAGGCTATGAGGCCCCCAATTTCTATTTTTTTTTAAGATTTTATGGCCTGGGGTTTTTTTTTTTTTAATTTTATGGTCTGGTAACGACACCTTTAAACCAAGTGTTATTACAGAAAGTGGAAATATTGTTATCAATTATTTTATATATATATATATAAAACAATCTCCAGAGAAGTCGACCAAGTGAGGGGTAATAGAGAGGAGGAAACTGGGAACACCGGAAATGTGGCGATTGGCGCGAGGACAGACGCGGGAGTTTTTGTTATTTGGTGGCGTGGTGTAAAAGATTGTTTTGGTGTTTGTGTGGTTTTAGTTAATTAAAAATTGTTTTGTAAGGAATAAAACTTCCTAGGTTGAGTGTTTTGTTACTTTTATTATTTATCGTTTGTGATTTCCAGATCAGAAGTGGATCACCACGTTTAGACCGTTTGTACTAATTTAGTACTTATTAGGTTCAGTATGGAACCTCATCTCGGCCGTAAGTTTTATTTCTTATAAAAGCAAAGTCTGGTCTTTCGTCTCGACTCGAGGGACAAAGGCATAGTCGCGAAAAACGGCGTTCGTGTCGGAAGCACGTGCGAAGCGTAGATTCCCGTAAGCCGCCTGGTAGAAGTCTCTATAGTAGTTCATCAAACCGCCGGAATCGGTCTTCCAGGCCGATGTATCGACGACCCTCATGCTCTCGTAACGCCGCGATAGTTCACGTATGTAGCTTTTGATAGGATCTTAGTGATTGAAGTATCGAAGCCAGACTACCTGTATCCGTGATAGCGTGAGTCCTTCGCGTCCTGTGAACGGGAGTCATTTAGTTTCTACTCCATTGGTGTACAGAGTTCTGCTAGTAAGCCAGGCTCAGGCATGGCTGAAGAGGTTATTGAGGGTAGTATTCCACACACACTGGATATGAAAACCAGTGAAGCAAAGGAGGAGGGAGCAGTATGTTGAAGCATTGAGATGTTCAAAGCAAAGTCTCACAACTTTTATATATCGCCTTTTGATCCAAATGTACACGACTTTGATGTTTGGTGCAACGAGGTTGACCGTGCCCGGTTCTAAATAATTGGGATGATCACGAAGTTAGGACGGATGGTAGTTGTTTGAAAGGAGAGAGTTGTGGTTAAACGATGGGTGACAAATGATCGATCGTGGAGTAATTTTAAACTAGATTTGATCGTTTGTCCACGTAACGTTGACATGGCTTCTGTATTATTTGAGGTAATGAGTACAAACTCTAATAAGTTTTCTACTTATGCGGAATACGCGCGTAAATCTTTGCTACGTTGAATATCGTTAAGGTTTATCCGATGAGCTGAAAACCGTTTGTTGTTCGAGGCATTAGCGATCCCCAAATAAGCCCCACAAATGCTAAATTACACTCAAGGTTTGATTGAATTTTTATCTGTTTATATAAAACCTAAATACGATTACCGCCAATCTAACAATACGTTCGTTCTTTTGTAGTTCAGGTCCGTCTTACAGCGAAAACGCGAGGCGTCTAGGTTTGATAATAACAAAATACTTGCCACACCTGTGGAAAATTAGGTAAAGAAAGCATGTCCTAAAAAACTTAGAGCTGATCCTACGACTTCCTCAGAGAAGTTTCACAAAACCACTCCAATGCATTAAGCGACAATCGAAGGTCGTTAAAATTGCACATGTAGCGTAAGGACATTTGATAGATTCATGTTTTCAAAAACAGCGTTCTAACAGTGGTGATAAAAAAATCAATGAAGTAAATTTTTGCTTAGACTTGACCCCAAACAAAGTAAGTAATCAGAGTACTTCAAAAGTACCAGTCGGTTTTGATCGATAGTGGGTCGGATATTTCTTTGATTCAGAGTAGTACTGAGATATTTTAATTTGAATAGAGTGCCAACTTATCGCTTGATGCGTGGAATTGGAAGTCAAGAAATTGAGTCGACTTCTCTAATTACGACAGTAATAGAATTTCCTGAAGTGTCATTAGAAATAGATTTATTTGTTGTTTCCTTCTCAGTGCATAAAGCACCCATTTTGATTGGTACCGACGTACTGAACCGAAAGGGTTTGATATACATTCGAAGTAAGGAGAACAGCGGCTTGTGAGGTCTGGTATTGTACCGATTGTGCAGATTGGTCGTGTGGACGAGGAGTCAGCACCCCTTAATTTTTTTTTTTTTTTTTAAAGACATCACACCAATTTACCTAGTCCCATGTTAGCTGGTGAAGCTTGTGTTATGGGTATAGGCAACGGTATAATACATATATAGATGATAGACTATAAATACATATTTAAACATCCAAGACCTAAGAACACCAGTCATACATCGATGTTCGTCTCAGCCGGGGATCGACCGGGACCCATGGATTCGCGTCAGGGGTACTAACCACGACCAATGGTTCAAATTAATATAAAATAAATTAATTGGTGCAGATAGGATAGATTATAACGATAATTCACGAATTTTCGGATTTATTCTCTGGCACTGCGGCCTCCACCGTGAACACAGGCAGAGGAAATTCGATTAACTTCGAATACCCCGAAAGTATGCCCTTACAACTTTCGATAGATGAAAAGAATAGGTTGGATTGTGCGTTTGTCAGTAAGGGTAGTCTCGTCTGACTAGCTTTTTTGGTCAAGAGACGATGATAGAATGTGCGTCGATATCGGGCCTCAATTCTATCACTGTCAGGGAAATTTCCTTGCCGCTAATCGAGACATGTTGAAAGCTTGGCAGTATAAAATCTTCACCAGTCTTATGGTACTGGATTTCACCAGGTGCCAATGAGGGACGATGACTCAATCAGAGACTGCCTTCGTGACACCTGAAGGACATTATGAATATTTGAAAATGCCCTACGGGTTGGCCAATGCACCAATTGTTTATCAGAGACATTTCCAAAACTTTAAAAACATTAATAGAGTGCAGCCCTTACGTATATAGACGACTTTACTGTCAAATTCAGTAGAGGAAGGCCTGACCCGTTGAAAGAAGTTTTACATACATTAAAAACACGGATTTTCTATTAATTTAAAAAATGTACCTTTTAGACTCAGAAATTGAATACTTGGGCGTCGGTCATGGTCAGGTTAGGCCGAGTCTGGGGAAGGTCGATGCACTTATTAGATCTCCAAAACCCACAAGTAGGAAGTTCGCCAGTTTCTAGGTTAGCGGATATTTCCGTCGTACATCGGGTAGCTTCTAGCGGCATGTATAGCAAAGTGTTAAGAAAAGGTTACAATTTTTGTGTTGAGCAGATACTGCTGGATTATAATCACTGTTTGACAAATGAACCGTTTTAGCATATTCAATCCCCGGCGCCTGGAATTCACACCGATGCAAGTGCTTTGTTTGGTGTATTTGTTAAGGAACATGCCGTAGGAGAAAGAGGTTTCGGTTATTTTAGTAAGTCCACCCAGGGCGAAGTCACGGTACCACAGCTATGAGCTGGAGACCTTAGCTGTCGTAGTGCTCAGCACTTCCGCCACTATTTGATTGGTATAGCCTTTAAAAGTGACTGATTGCAATTCATTAAATTGACGAGCGTAAAAAGATCTGTTGCCTCGTTGCTGGTGGGTATATTTACAAGATTTTAATTTTACTTTAGATTATCGTAAAGGTTTTTAATGCAACATGCAGATTTTCTGAGCCGTAATCCTCCTCTTTCCACTGCCAATGTGTCTCATATTCGGAATCCAAGCAGTGGGCGAAGATCGCTCAAACCGTGAGTGGAGACACAAGAGTTAATTTCTAGATGAGACGGCGCTACATACTAGGTATGTGATAAAAAATGATTGTACTACAAATTTACACCAACTGGAAGACCCGGACTCTTGTGTTACATCCCTAAGGGTCACAGACTCAGCTTGTTGAGGGTTCCAGATGAACATGATCATATTGGGCCGGACAGAACAACTGACTTAATATTAAGACACTTTTGTTTCCTAGTTTGCACAGTTTGTAAAAAAGTACATAAGTTAGTCTAGTATGTTTAGCACATAAAAAGTTCCCAGGGCTCCGTAAACGATTCAATCCGGACAAAGCCAGATATCCCTTTTTCTATTATACACACCGATGTCCTAGGGCCGCTCCAAGAGTCAAACGGTTTCAAATACGTTTTGATTATAGTGGAGATTTCCAGTATGTTTGCTCTACTCTCTGTACAGACAAAACACTGACGAGCTAAAACGAGTTTTTTCAAATGCGGTGTCATTATTGGTACGCCGTCTAGATGTTCGCTAGAAGTTCGAAAGCACTACATTCCAAAATTGGTAGTGATTTGGGACTGAAATTATCAGGTAGTGAAAATGGAGCGGAGCGGTACTGCAGGACAGTTCTCAACATGCTACGTGTTGAAGTAGGCAACAAAGGTTCCCAAGGTCCGATGTGCTGTGGAGGAAGCTACTTTGAATATCTCAGCAAGTACCACGCAGACTCACCACTACAGTTACTGGTCGGTATTGACTTACTCCAGTCATAGATCGTGTGCGAGATGTGGCACTTACTAACGCTAATCCCAATCGGGAGGCTCTTTTAACTCTTCGCAGACAACGAGCTTCAGAACTCCTTGCAACCAATCAACAGCGCCAGGATGCTACGTTAACGAGGGTCGACGGCAGCCACTCACTTTTGCTGTCGGAGACTTTGTGTTGGAGCAGACTGCACAAATCACCGGCAAACTGGACTCCGGCATGCGCGGGCCTTAAAGGTTATTCGCGGTTACCGGTGGCACCTACGAGTTAGAGAAGGTCCTATGGGAAAGACCCAAGTGAGCTGAAAATATGATGTTGTGGCAAGGGAGTACCCGGTGGTGCTCAGTTTTTTTGAGACGGTGAGCGAGTATGGGTAAAGCAATAGAGAACAGCAAGGTATGGGTTTTTTCAAATTTTGTGGTGATGTGTTTAGGCCACATAGAGAACATACAAAGGTAGGGTCTCTGTGACAATTTTTTTTTCTGGTGCAATTTTAGGCCACTTAGAGAACATGCAAAATGTATGGGACTCTGTTTTAACAAATTGTCGTTATGAGAGCACTAGAAGCCGCTGTGTTACGACAGTGTATTGCAAGATACTGAGTTTTATTTTATTGTGTGTCGAAGCTATCTAATTCTATAATATTTGCTTTTGATAGACCTTATCTTTGTTAGTAGTTGAATAGTACTGGTATTGAGAAAAGAGATAAATTCATTTTTCATCCCTTTCAGAATATGCTCAGGCTATACACTAAACTAGGTAATTACTTACAAGTTCCTTCTTTTAGAGACTGCATTAGACAATAAGGCAGTTGCAAGGGATGAAACAAATGAAGAGAGAAAGGCTATATTAAGTAATGGTGGAGCGATGTCAGGAACGGCGTCTTTAGGTCTAAGATCTGATCAATTTTTTTTTTTAAATAGGATTTTCATATGGCAATAAAAGAAAAATTTCATTGTCAACTGAAATTTCGGAATTTTTTTGTTGCTTCAAATTTCCTTTAAAAGTGATAAAATCGAAGAAACCTCTTCGATCGCAAGCAAGACATATTGTTTTCAATGTTTATCAAAGAAACTTGATCAACAAGATGCAGAACATACCATCATCGAATTGGCAGTGCGTTTGTTAGGGAATGACAGTCTTAACTTTGGTTTATGGATTTGTGTTGTTTAAATTTGGTTTATTTCAGGGTTTTTATACCAAAAAAACTGATTTTGATTTGAATTGATCAGAAACAAGAAATGGTTTTACATTGTTCTTTCTCTTGGACGATATGCGAAAATCTTGTGAACATGTAATAAAAATGTAAAATAAGTTCATGAACAAGACGTTTTGAGATGCAGGAGGAAAGGTTTATTATAAAACGGTTGAAGACTTTTTTATGGAGTGCAGTATTTGGAACCATTTTAAAGTTCTTAATTAATTAATAAACTAGACAGGTAATTGTTTTCACTAAATTTCAAACCCCAAGAATTTCAAAAATATGGAAAATTTTTATATATTTGCATAATACACACAGAATAGCCGCTATAAGGAAAAAAAAAGTATCAAAACGTTTTACTCCCATTAATTTATTTATTAGCCGGATACAAGTCCATTGGCACGTTTTAAAACATTCCGTTTTACTCCAATTTCCCCAGTATTGCTAGCGTCAATTTCTTTTTTCCCTTTTTGCCATCAGATCCTGGTAGACCTATTAAACAATACAGGAAGTCGACCAAGTGAGGGGTAATAGAGAGGAAACTGGGAACACCGGAAATGTGGCATTGGCGCACGTGACAGACGCGGATTTTTTTTTATTTATGGTGCGTGGTGTAAAAGATTCTTTGGTTGCTATAATTTTATGGATTTAGTTAATAAAAATTTTTTGTAAGGAATAAAACTTCCTAGAGTTTATTTTATATTTATTTTATTAGAATATATATAAGGAAACAACTATAAATATTTACAGTATTTCTTATATTAATCTTAATATATATATATATATATAAGATTTGCGAGGTGTGCGGGTGCAGTGTTGGGGCCAAATCGCAAAACTTTTTCTCAATTCTGAAATCAAGAGCATTAACAGTTAACACCTTCCTATACCTATATGCAGTTTTGTCTGTTTACTGTTATTTATCAGAAATACCTTTGTGTGACGGTACCCACATAAAGGCAATAGTTACATCTTTCTTAGTTTTTCTTTCTTTCGTTTTTACCAAGGCAAAATCTTTCATAAAATAAATAATATATATATATATATACATATACAGTTTTAAACGTATCTAAGTAAGTAAACGTTTTGAGAGTAGCATGCTTAAGACTATTTATTTATAAGACTCAAAGAGTCTGAGAAAATCAGAAAATATTTACAATTGTTTTTATAAGTAAAGCTGATATTATGGATTAAATTTTTAGCCGAATTGTGTTTTTTAAAGATCACAATATTTTTTTACGCTAATACGCCTTATTGCCACCATACCTATAATATTCGTAAATATATGATTTAAATAAATTGGACTTTTATTTCCCAGTCTGTCTTGAGAGGTTTCGCTTTCAATAAAAACCTTAAATTCCGCATTATTAGAATTTTCTGGGTATTATCTTTGGTAATTAGGCGATATGGCGAGTGTCATTCTTACCACCTCCGCCGGCAGCATCCGAAACATCCTGGGGATCTTCAAGCCTCCGCTGTGGTCTCTTATTTGAGGTGGGCGAGTCGGGCCCGTGTTTTAATATTAAAAGAACGTGTATAGTTATATACTTAATTCATTAAGGTATATTTAAAATTGATTATTATAAATGTAATTATTATTTAAATGAATATTTCATATAAATATAATTATGTTCCTTATTTAGACAAATAAACGCAATGCAAAATAAAACTTACAGTATTTATTGGTTGCAAGTTGCTCGCGAAATAGTCTTTTCACACCTTAGCATAAGAATAAGCGATCACACTCATCCGTTTTTGGTACACGTAAAAAATATATTACTAATATTTATATTAGTGAAACATATATCTTCTAACTTCTAAGAGGATTAATTTAAACCTACATTTACAATTAAAAAAAGTAGTGTAAAGAAAATGGTAAACTTTTATTTATAGTAAAAACATAATTTATAAGTTATTAGACATAGATTTTTGTTTCTTATAACTTTCTACATGATGATGTGCAATTTTATAAGCCAATGTTTCGGGTCGGAGTAAATTAGATGTCAAAGCCCTATGATATGATTTTAAAACAGATTCGTCAGTTTCTTCAGGATAAAGATAAGCTTCTATACCATAACATAATAAATCTTCTGGACAATCAAGGACTCTTAAGCATCCTGCATACTCTGACCAAACCAGTTTTCTCCATTTCACATTGTGTCTTTGAGCCAAAGGAACTAACAGACAGGCAGCAAATATATGGTCTCCATAACTAACTGATTGAAACTGCTCTAAAAACTGTGTATAAAAATCTTGAAAATTATACAATCCAACTAACTCCTTATCAAAATCAAACTTAATTCCTTTTTTAAACAATAACTGTGTACATTTTGACAAAAGCATTTTAATCTTATTGTCTAGAAATAATGAATTATCACATAAAAACACACACATTATGCGACAAAATCTGTCTGTAATATCAATATCGTTCAAGAGGTCTGGAAAACATATTTCATTGAATAAAATCCATTCTAGGCTGCAGCGAATTGTATTTTCTTTATCTGTTGCTATTTCTTTTATTTTTGTAGAATGTTTTCCAACTATTGCTGGACTTGGAGTTTCTTGACTCTTACTATATAAAGATAATATAGGCAAATATATCCAGTCACGTGGTAGGATGGGATTCTGCCATAGCTTGTATACAATAAATGGCCCAGTATCCACATAGTTCAAGTTTATAACTTTACAATAACACAATTTTATATCTTCAATATTAGTCAGTGCCTTAGAGAAACCATCTGCTTCAGTCAGTGACACAAGATTGAAACGTCTTTCCGCTGTAAACCACTCCTTATTGAAAATAATATTTACAAAGAGGTAATTCAACTCTTTTCTCTTATCTATCCTAAATATGTAACATAGCTTACTTGCCACAGCATAAACAAGATCTTTTAAAGATTCTGGGATTTCAGACTCAATAGAAAGTTTTACTAAACTAAATAAGAAATCTACTTCCATTCTTGTAAACCAGTTATTTATCAAACATGGTTTAGCACTTGTTACTTGTTGTAAGTATGGAAAGCTTTCGCTCCAAAAATGATTGTGATACAGTCCTATTATTTAAAACATACAATAGTTTAAATAGTGATCCTAAAACTGGAAAAGGTGAAACAGAATTTAATGTGGGAAGAATTTTTTTTTCTGAATCAATAACTAATGTTCCCAATGAAACTAAATTTTCTGTGAAATGTAGTTTTGTATCTTCTATGCCTGATAATAAATTTGAACTAGGTATCAAATTGTTTGTTAGCTTTTGATATCCTTGAGATTTACTTAATTTAAGAAGAACTTCATTTAACATTTCAGTAGCAATGTTGTCAGTTATTAAAACATTTTCAAAACAATTTAAAATGGAACACACCAATTTTAAATGACCACAAGTATATGCATCAAGTTGCGTCAAATGCAGTAACCATTTCTGCATTCCATCTTTGAGTAATGGATAAATCTGTGCTTTAAAATCCATATTAATTTCACAGTTAATTAAACCACCAATGAATTGCAGAACTACTGCACAATGAGTTGCAGATAAAACTGATGAGTTTATGAATATGCTTGTTCCTTGTACATGTTTAAATAGTGTTGTTATCACTACTGGACACAGTGTCTTAGCATGCTCTATTCCCAATTTAAATTGCAGTAAATTAGATAATATATAATATGATTCTATCTGCAACTTCAATCCGTAAGTCCCATCTACTCCCGAGGTGATATACTTGGATATAGGTTTCAATATATTGTAATTTTTAATTAATTGTTCACCAATTTCTTTAGATGTCAATGTTAAAACACGTAAAAACTTTAAAGCCGCTAAAATTGGTTTGTTATATACAATGGTTAGATTAAACATAAAATTGACACTGCAGATTGGTACAAAGTGATTAATCACTGCATTCATCAAATGTTCAGTCTGAACTATTTTACTTGCAGTTTCCAACGAATCTCTTGCTAACCGAGTTAATATTTGCAAAGAATACTGTACACAATTAAAAGTAGGCTTTATTTTATCCAGAATGTAGAACAATCTTTGTAGAATATCTGTTCTTATCAAAGCAGCAATTAGGTCAATTTCAGCCAAATGAAAATCTTTTATTTCCGATTCTTTTAGTTCAATTTCTTCAATCTCAGACTTATCATTCTCTAAACATGGCTGAATTGCTCCTTCTTTCAAGCCAATTATAGCATCTAGGGAAGCTTCGTCTATTCTGTTATATAGTAAATTTCTCATAGCTTTTAAAGCTGGTTCCAAAATTATAAGTTTATTTTCATCCATAGATATACGTATAATGAAGAACAGCTTACTTAAAGGAATTTCTATAATATTTTTATATGTCCCCGCATTATAGTATTCTAAGATACCAGCCAAACAATTCAATGACATTACCCGTTGTTGTGGAACACCTGATCTTGATAGTTCAATAAGCTCTGTTAATGAATACCCTGGCCTATGAGACTCTTCTCCATGATGAAATAAGATCTTAGTCTTTTCAGTATATTCCATTGTGTACGGTAAAAGGTAGCCATTAAAATCAAACCTTGCCTCATATGGCTCATTAGACTTAATCTTACAATCATAAATACCTTTTATCCATTCTAACTTATCTACCTCTAAGCTATCAAAGTGAAGCCATTTGTCAATATTTGGATGAGAAAGAACATCATTCTCCCATAAGCTACCATAATCTATACTATCTTCTTCCGGCGTAGCATCAGTTTTTATTGTAACTCTATTACTTTTTTTATTTTCAGTTATATCCATAGCTTCATCTTCTTTTTCTATACATTGCCTTTCTTGTTGATTTCTTTTAGACTTGATAAAATCTACCAAATTAGGGTTTAAGCTTTGAAGTAATTTTTTTCTTTCTTCTAATATTTCATTTTCTGACATTCCACTTAAAACTTTTACATTTTCAATGTGAAGTTCATCTGCTGCCTTGTTAGTTAGTATATAACTTTTTTTTGGGAGATTAAGATGCTGATTACTTTCAATAATTATAGACGAATCATCTAATAACATTTCATGACTATTGGTTTGTTTTTTCACTTGATCACCTTGTTGCTTTGTTTTTTTCGTACTTAGACTCGGGTTCTGTGAGACCACATTAGGAAAACCTTGTGCCGGAAAAACTTTGTATTCCAAGTCAATGGTTGCTTCAGTATTTTTTTCTATAATATTACCCAAAACTAATGGTAATATTTTTGGAAAATAAACGTTATCATCGTCAAATAGAGAAGCTTTGCTATGAGTTATGTCGTTATTCTTTTCTAAAATATCTCCAACTAGACTAGGTTTATTTTCCTCAAAACGAGGCCGCTTTTCGGAGTAATTTGTAAGCCCCTTCGATTGTGCATATTTTGAAGGTTTTCTAATAGTCGTACATGAAGTATTTGTTCTTTTTGTTGTCTGATGCTGTGTACGACATATATTAACAACTTGTGCCGACGGTTGCATATTTTCATTTTTTGACTTTTCTTTTAGGAAGTCTGCTTGCATGCGAAGTATATCCTCTTCATTTTCACCAGGTTTTGGACGCCGTATCATATTTACTTGTAGTAGCTTTAGTTAAAAGTTTAAACACTTTCATATGAGGATACTAAAGTCTAAACGTCGTAAATCGTAATCTAGTCCAAATTTATAGATAATTATATTTAGTAATAAGTATGTGGTCTGTGAGTTTGTGACGGACAGAGTAGTAAAAGAGTGTTTTTTTTGTAAACAAATACTAAAAACCATAGATGAATAACTTCACCACAGCGACAGGTGTGAGGTGACCTTAAAACTAAAGAATAATACACCGCGTAAAATAGCAAACATAGGGATAGGTTGGTCTTTTATTGTCACGTTTTATTTTACGTAGGTTGGTAGTATTTTCCTTCGAAGACAGTATCATTCTTAATCCCAATAACTAAATAATATTTATACCGTATTGACCATTATACCGTATTTTTTTTATATATTAAAAGAGATAAATTATAATAACGTTTTGAACACATCAACTCTGTTATCTGTATATGTCATTTATAAATTGTCAGATGTGTCATGTGAATTGTGTATGTCAATAACACGTTTGTAGCTCTACAAAACCTAAACTAAAAAGTGATAACACGTGAATCGTGATCGGATTATTGTCGAGACCCGTTTGGCTCTCTAAGAAATCTATGAATTTACACTTCAATTATCAATAATTGGTAGAGTCTAACGTATTGATCAAACGCGAAATCTTGCAATTAATTCAAAAATAATCAAAGTGATATATTAGCGCAGATATTATATTTCTGAATTGTGGTTGGTTGTTGCGAATTAAAACAACTTTTTTGTCTTAACAAATATAAAATGCCAAAAATTAAAAAAAATATCGAAAATTTAAAACACCCCAACAGTCGCAAAATGATGTCTTTAGCGAAGAAAATTAATAAAGAAGAGAAGAAAAATAATAATAAACTTGGAACCCACATTAAACACAATTTAATTGGAGAAAAGATAATGTGGTTTAAAGACAGGCTTCCTGTAGGATGCCATGTATTAACTAGGCCACAAACATTAGAACTTATTGAGAGTTATTTGGCGCGTTTTAATGAAGAACTAGATCAAATAGCTTTAAAAAACTCAATGGGTCAAAGGAAAAACCGTCAGCATGCTAGTCGAGAAGATGTCATAAACATAACGAAAAAACGAGAAATTGAAGAGTTTGAAACATGTGGCCTGGAAATGCCAGACTTAATGGATATACATCAGATGGAAGTATTAAGAAATTGGAATGGAGAGTTAAGGTTCTTGCAACATTTTAAACTGCGTAGGTATGCAAGAAAACATCTTACATAGCACAAAGAATATAATTACAATTCCCACTAATTAATACTTTTTCTAAGTTCTTATGTATCACCTCTATAACTGATAATACAAAATTTGTAGCATATATGAACAATATTTAAAACACCAATAAATGAGTTTTTCTTTTTGATTAATAACAAACCTATAAATCACATTATTATCTAATTTCTTAACTCTAAATCTCATAGTAATAAAAAAATATAATTGAGCCTTAGTTATTATTTTGACAACATTTAAATTCCTTAGTCATATTATGTAGTTTTTGTACGAGCTTACCTGATTGATTTTTTTTTATTTTCCTGACAGTGGGTGCATGGAAGAGATGGCTTGAAAGTTATAAGGCCACCTGTTGCCCCATTATTATTTAATTATTCTATATACATAATATATTGAACTGACGTTTGGAACAGTGTCAAATAAATAAAAAAATTAACTACTAATAAAAGACCAATTGACTAAACATAATATATTTACACAATAACCTACATTAATACAAAAAGTTATATAATATGCAGAATCAAATTATTAGTGTACATAAATATGAGTTTGTAAATTTAGATGTGTTTTAATAACACAACCATTTGTCACATATTTTAGGTATTGGTAACTGGGACAAAAATAATAGATAAAATATCATTATATGTTGAATATGGCATGTATTTAAGTAAGGAAAAAAGTGACTTACTTAATTATGATAGTGTCATTAAGCTCTGAAGCTTGGCAACTTAATGGAAAACAAAAAAAATAAATTACAATATGTATAAATACTATTATTTTAAATTTGATTCAAGATAAAACTTGTTACAGAAAGCTCATGAATGTAAAGCATGAATCAACACATTCAATTAAATTATATGTGCTCTATTACAACTAACAATATAGCCTTTGTTATATGAGGAGATACCATTTATTTATTTTTATGAAATACATGTCCTAACATTTTGACTTTATTTAAGCAGTAAAATAATTCATCGTAAGTCTGCACATTCGCATAAATCAAAATAAATAATTATGTGTAGTTTATGCACCAGATCATTTCTTTACTATTGAAGTATTTCATTTAGCATAATTTCAAAATATCCTATATATATAATAAATATTTTTTAATAAATTATGTAATTCATATATAGAGTTTGCTTATCATTAATTTTTATCAGATTTCATAGGTACAATTTATGACAAAACATAAGAGGAGACAATGACTGACTTAAACACTAATAAAATTCGAAAATAATTGAATTAATTTAACTTTTTTTTATTAATAGAGATCAATAGTATTTTATTAAAACTATATGACTTGAAAATCAAGGTAAACTTAAACAATTCATTCTCTCAGTATATATAACATTATGCAATAATTTTATTTTATTAACAAAAGATTCAAGAATGTATATAGTTTATAGGCACTTTAATACAAACTATACATACAGAATATTATCATCATAGCATAGAAAACTATTCCAGAATTTAGATACATATTTGTAATCCTTTAACAATTATCAATAGCTACCCAACTTAATTTTTTTAATAGAGGAAAAAGTATTAAGTGATCTGTTTAATCAATGGCTCTAAACTAATTACTTAATTTGCAGTATTTATTATTATCCTGTAAATTCCGCTAAAAAAGTACAACTCTACAAGTTGAGGGGCAATAGAGAGCTTGTTATATATATCAGTCAACCTTAAGAACACAACACATAATTTTATGATTTTACATCTCCATAAAAAATAATCAAGTAAATAAAGGCAGGTGGTAGAAATCATACCCTCTTTGTCCTCTTGCAGCAAGCCAAATGTAAACTACATGATAAGCTCCAGGGACAAAGCAAATCATGCCAGCTACAAAAAACACAGCACCTTGTAGACCATTCTCCGGTTCAGCTACAGCAAAGGCACACATGCCAAGTAAACCAACTCCAACTATAAGTAGTATTACAGCAGCACATACTGTTTTCCAATTTTCCCGGACCTTTGGGTGATTCCAGCAATATAGAGATTGTGAAGCTTCTACATATTCATGTATGAGTGAATCAGAGTCTCGAGATGTTGTATCTTCAGTATATTTATAGGTTTTACTAAAATAAAGAATATATACAAATAAGGTGCCCTTGGTCATTGGTAAAATTCAAGTTATAAGACTAAACTTAAATTTTATTAATTACTTTTACAAAAAGTATCTCAGAGTGAAAATCTTACAACTGTGCTGTCAATACTTCAACAAGAATTTAAATACATTTATTGTATATTAATTATCTATAAGTAAATATCAGATTCAGACTTTACAACACACTTTACATACAAAAATTAATATTAGAACCTATCTGTGAAGAATTTAAATATCCAAACATCAGGAATAAACTAAGATATGAAACTAAGCTTTGTTAATTATATTTTCACAAGGTTATTGTTTATTTACATTGTTTGATAACGGCGTGACACGTGAGATTAATTTTAAATACATATGGGTTCAAAGTCAAAGAGATTCAAAAGAATTAAAGATAATCAGAAAAATTTTGATATGCTTACTTTAACAGCTTTACGCTATAGCAACTATTACTATTTAAATCAGAAACCTTTGCCCGATATATAAAAATGACTCACAAACATCGAAACAAGATAATAGTAATGACTGAACTTTTAAGTTATTGAGAATAGCACGTTTTGTAAATCTAGGAATTTATAAAGTAAAGGGCTTACCTTGAAATAAAATCGCCTCCATTCTTAAATTTGTTTTGTATCGGAGACCTATCAACGGTAGCACCATACACTTTGATGGCTTCATCAGTTTCTTCTTCGAATGCATCGTCAATGGAAAATCGCTTTTCAGTGTTTCCAAGCGTTCTCGTCATTTTGAATATTTCCTACTATTTAGAGATGTAAAACATAACAATTTATTTATGAAATTATATTTATTACTATCGAGCGAAGACAAAACGAAAACACAGCTGTCACCAAATATAAAAATTTGTGTGAGCGCGTCATTCGTCAATGTCCAGCCTGGATAAAAGGTAAACAAATCTGTGGTTTACAACAATCTGAGGTCTAGCCGTATTACTACCGAAAAGTTTTCTACATACACTGCCGCTTTTGCGTAACTGTATTTGTCGAAAACGCTTCGTTCCGCAGCCTAGAGACATGTTCGAGGGTAATGTAAACCACTTCAATGAATTTTTCTACTAAACAAGACATTGGTAAATTAATGCAATTGCCAAAAATAAAACTATCAAATACATAACATACAAGTTTTATTAATTCCTTACCTAAACAGGTTTTGCATTAATATATTAACTAGTAGCAAATCACTGATATAAACTAAAGTTAATTGATATAAATATTAACTGAAAATCAATATGAAACTCAAATTTATATCTAAGAGGTTGGAGCACCAATATCAAATCTATACTTAATTAAGGGTCATAATTTCATACCAGACTAGGTTTCTATATTATAATTAATCCCTTTTTTTATTTCATTGAGTACGTCTTGCTGTTTTACAGATTCTCTCTTTTAAAAGTAGAGATAGGTTTTAAACAATCAAGTTTTATAAATTACTACTTTACTTACACTGAAATTGGGTTTATGGTAAATGGTTATACATATCAGAGACAATTCAAACTAGTAGCAAATTACTAATAAAAACTAGACTTATTCGATCATATTAATTCAAGATCTGAATTAAAATTGACATTGAAAATGTTCAAGCACAAAGACCAAACCCAAAGCTTTTCGTCTGTGTTTTTGAAGTTATACTTCTTTAGGCGCGTTATGAAAATTTTATGAGAGTGAAATTTTACGATGCGCGCGCACCGTGACTTACAAAATTATCAGTATGGGCCAGGAGTGAGCGAGATGGGAATAAGACAATCTACAAGTAAAAAGAAATAGAATATGTTTGACGTTAGCAGCTATGCAAAGAATTTTGAATGACCATAATGACATTTGTAGTACCTTTTAAACAAATAAAGGAGTTTTAATTATTTTTTCCAAGAAATTTAGCAATGCTTTTTCACAAAGACCTATTGTTACTTAGTTAAAAGGTTATGAAACATACCTAGTTATTAAATTGAATTAATAATATAATAAAATAATTATTATTATTAATATTAATTAATAATTAAATAATATACTAAATATTAAATATTGTTAAATTATTAACGCTAAATATTTATTATTAATTATTTAATATTTAAAAAAAATAAAGAAAGCCAAAGAAGTATAACTTCTTACGCGCGTACATAAGTACACGCACAATTTTTTTTTAATTCCTTGGACTATCAACTGCTAATCATTATTCTTTTCCCTCTTTATTTATCAATCCGCAGTACTATTTCTATTGTTTCTTTAAAGCGGTGACTAAATATGTTGCTTCTTCATTTTGCAGATTAATTGTTCTGAGATCTTAAAAAATATAAAAGTATGAGTTCTACTAATTATTGTATATCGCGATTATGTAGGTATAAGATATTTTATTTATTTATAACCTCAAATTTCTGAGAGTAAATGAAACAAACCATAGTTAATTTCAACATGCAATTTTTATTCATATAATACTTTGTATCTTTCCATAAATTCCACTAAAATCGAAAATTGTTCGACCTTGCTCGCATTCTTTATGTTCATTTTGCAGCTTTCTATTGCAAATGTACAATAATATTGTAAAGTTTTTACTTTTATTCGTTTTATAAATGTGACATTAGGAATACATTTAATCCAGAGAAAATATGACGGAATAAGTCACGAACAGCAGCTCGGAGATACGCTGTCGACTTTACGGTAGTGTAGTAACGTGTGTCTTGGCTGCGAACGAAGTGTTTTCGACAATACAATTACGCAAAAGCGGTGGTGTATGTAGAAAACTTTTCGGTATCAATATGGCTAGACTCCCTGTACTAATTGGCTGATATTTTTGATATTATCATATTTATTTTCATATAAATATAAACAAAAACTAAAACTCTTCACTTTAAAAAAACTTAACTATAGTTTAGATCATTATACTTTTACGAGAACGTTTAAAGCAGCAAGATAAAATGAAAATTACAGTTTGTATTTAATAACATAAAAACTTTTCGTTAAAACGTCCAAAATATAACATGCATTTAAAACGGTAGTCCCGAATCATAGCAAACGGCAGCTTTTGAGATCACGCAAAAATATGGCGGATAATCGCTGTTTTTTCGAAACATTAATTTCTGTTGACTACCGAAAAGCGCGAGTGTAAATGTGTGTCTTTTCGAACAGTGTCATGGCGTTGCTAATTGTATCCCGATTCACGCCTATTGGGCCTAGGCTACCTACCTATCAACACGAACTTTCGTCATTTACATACAAATTTAGTTTCTGACCGTACTTACTGTTAAGGTATCTTGACTAAGCCCCCTTCCTTTTTTTTTAAATTTTATGGCCTGGTAACGAGACCTTTAAGCCAAAGTTTGGCGTTGGTGGGGTCACGCCTGTTGCAAAGTGATTTGGTCGCTCGTGACACAGCGTGGGCTATAGTGCGTTTTCCAATTACAGCACTAGAGCGCATTATGCGGCATAATGCTTAACGTTGAATGTTACCAACTACAGCAACGCTTCGCACAATTGAGCACTCTCAAAAGTAATGCTCTCGCGTGCTTCTCGCAATCAATACCAACACAGTGACCAGTGTTTTTCTTTAAGTTGGCATCGATCGAAATTTTCGTTAGTAAATATTATTTATTGTTGAAAAATTTGTAAGGCTTTCGTTTTGTCGTAGATTTTGAAAATAATTAAAGTTATTTCAAAATGTTAAAAAAATATAAGTATGGATGTAGGTAAGGTTATAAGATATCTTTTTTGTATTCCACATTTAAAATATGAATACAATTTCATTTTAAAATTCGGATCTGTAAACAAATTTATTTTACAGGATTATACTTTTGTAAACATTGCAATGGTTTTGAAAAATTATATATTTTTTTAGAAATCATTTAAAAAAGTTACTCAAAACGTAAATTATGTAAACTTCTTACATGAAACTAAATATTTTACTGTTAATTTAGCTTGATAAAACCTTATATTCTTTAAAGGTTTTCTCTTAGTTCATGTTAATGAAATAATCAAAATCCCATTTTACCCAAAATAAGCGTAAATAGTTTTCAACCAATTATTATTGTTTACCACATTATTTATACATTAATGAGGTTGCTAACTCTATTCAGAACTTTTTTTTCAACACTGACTTAGCGCACTCTGCTGATGCATTTGAAAACTAATTTACGGTCTAAGCTTCAGCGTAATGCGGCATTGTGCGGCACTGAGTCGCATTATGCGCTGTAATTGGAAGGCAACATATTAGTCTACTGTCAACTATGAACTATGTTTTATTCGTATACAAATTTAATGTTTCATCTTCTATGTTAGAGATACTTGATAGAATATTATTACTAGTGTGATAAGTGATTAATGATTTACACTTAACATGTGGATCATTAAGGAACCTGGATTAATTATATATTATATTTAATATACTTAGTACAGAATACAACAGTTTACTTTATTATTTATTGGTGCCGACTGTTTGAGGAGTCACAGTCAAATATTTAAAGTAGAAGGAAAGTTATACTTTATAAATAATGGTTAACAAAGCTTGGAACAAGGTTACTCCCACTTTATCAATTCCTGTATTAAATTGCATCACTAAACAAGGCTTTAATGCCATGACTCCTATACAAGCAGCCGTGATTCCTCTGCTTCTGTCTTGTAAGGATGTAGTGGCTGAGGCTGTAACTGGTTCAGGGAAAACCTTGGCTTTTGTTGTACCTATGATAGAAATGTTGATGAAGAAAGAACGAGAGAGTCCGCTTAGAAAAAAGTTCGTTTACTCAATAATTATCTCACCAACAAGAGAATTAGCTACTCAAATTTTTGAAGTAAGGTTATATTTAGTATTTATAACACACACACACACAGATAAATACTGTGTTCTTAATTTGAAATTGCTTATTGTACATTAATTTAATTCAAATGGTTTTTTTAGTTTTTAGCATTTGTTATTTTTAATTTGATCTATAAATATAAATTATATTAATAGAAAATAAGTAGAGAATAGAATGGAAATTTTTTGTTGAAACATTTCATTTTGTAATTTTATTTGAAGGTTATTAAACAATTTCTTCTGGAACCTGAGCTGCGCCATTTCTCTATTTGCTGTTTGGTGGGTGGACGTCCTGTTGTATCTGACATAGAAAATATTGAAAAGGGAGCTCAAATCATAGTTTGTACTCCAGGAAGGTTGCAGGACTTGTTAGCTGAACGTAAAAATCTTAATTTACCAGGAAGAGTTAGGGAGATGGTACGATCCTAATGGCAAATATGAACCATTAATAATATTACTAGGTTATTTTTATGGAAGTAATATTAACTGAAAAGATTATTTTAAAAAATAAATGAAGAATAGCTAAAAAAAAGTACAATTATAATATTAATAATGATATATGTTATCTTTTACAGGAACTCCTAATATTAGATGAGGCAGATCGTCTTTTAGACCTAGGTTTCAATGCAACATTAACAACAATTTTGCAGTACCTTCCACGACAAAGACGAACCGGGCTATTCTCAGCAACACAGACTAAGGAGCTCCAAGATCTAGTTAGAGCTGGTCTTAGGAACCCTGTACTGATAAGTGTTAAAGAAAAATCAAGTATAAGCACACCTATTGCTCTTGAAAATTACTACATAATTGTAGAACCTCAAGATAAATTTCTTTTTCTGTTGAATTTCATTAGAAATCGACAAATGATGAAAGGCCTTTTTTTTCTTCCAACCTGTGCTTGTGTAGACTATTGGGCTGATGTGTTGCCCGTATTTTTGCCAGATTTAAAAATATTTGCAATCCATGGTAAAATGAAACAGAAAAGAGGAAAGATTCTGGATAAGTTTAGAGAAGCTGAAAGTACCATATTACTATGTACAGACCTAATGGCAAGGTAAACTTTATCTAAATTTAATTCAAACAAATATTTTTAGGCTCAAAAGTTTAATGAGTGACAATGATAAATCTGTATAATGACTGCGTTGCTACTGGTTGCTCTACGGTAATGGAGGTGCATGCTACTGTTGGTAGAAGCTAAACAAGTGTTTTATATCAATTTTTTCATATTATGATTAATTCCTTTAAAAATATTTTACAATTATTACATGTTTATAGTTCAGTTCTATCTGTTTAATAATAATATAACTTTATTCATGACAGAAATATGGTTCTGACAAAATTGATCTGTTTAAAATGTCACCTTTGTTAATTGATTACACCATCATTATTTCAGAGGCTTAGACATACCAGAAGTAGAATGGGTGCTCCAATGGGAGCCTCCAACAAATCCAGCGGCATTAGTACACAGAGTGGGAAGAACGGCTCGAGGAGGGGCTGCTGGATGTTCTCTTTTACCTCTCTTGCCCACTGAAGATACATATGTCCCATTTATAAAGAGTAATCAAAAGGTAGAACTTCAAGATTGGAAGCAGTCTAGTGATCAGATCAAGATTAGTGATAAGTTAAGGCATAAGGTGGGCTATCATGACATTTAGTCAAACTAGTAAAGAGCTAATAAAAAAATACCTGAACTAAATCATAAATATGAAAGACAATTTGGTTTTATTTATATATTTATAATTTTATCATTAAAATTTTTTTAGGTCTTAACAATACTCCACGATCAACAGAGGAAGGATCGGACTATTCTTGATAAAGGAATGAGAGCATTCGTATCTCATATTAGAGCTTACTCAAAACATGAGTGTAATATTCTTTTACAACTCAAAGAATTACCTTTAGGTCATATAGCAACCAGTTACGGTCTCCTAAAGTTACCGTTAATGCCAGAAATAAGGGAAGAACATAAAACACAATTTATTGGCCCTAAAGATAAGATTGACTTCAATAGTATATCTTACAGGGATAAGCAGAAAGAAACTAGTCGGCTGCAGAAGTTGCAAGAATATAAAAAAACTGGAATCTGGCCCTCAAAAAAGAAAAAGAAGATGGTAAGAGCGCTTCTAGAGAAAGTGAATAATATGCTAAGTAGATACTATAAACCTGGTCAGATTACTAATTATGTTTTTAAATATGTACATATTTGCAAAGATATGAGATAAGAACAAATGTGTGGTGAAAATGGCATCTGAACTTACAAAGTATTAAACTATTCCCAATAAACAACTACTACTAAAACTAAAAAAAAAAAAAAAAAAAAAGAGGAAAAAAAAAAAAGAGAAAAGAAAAAGGGAAAAGAGAAAAAAAAAAAAAAAAAAAAAAAAAAAAAAAAAAAAAAAAAAAAAAAAAAAAAAAAAAAGAGGGGGGGGGGGGGGGGGGAAAAAAAAAAAAAAAAAAAAAAAAAAAAAAAAAAAAAAAAAAAAAAAAAAAAAAAAAAAAAAAAAAAAAAAAAAAAAAAGGGTTTTTTGGGGGTGTTTAAAAAAACAAAAAAAATTTTTTAAAAAAAAAAAAAAAAGGGGGGAAAAAAAAAAAAAAAAAAACACCAAAAAAAAAAAAAAAAAAAAAAAAAAAAAAAAAAAAAAAAAAAAAAAAAAAAAAAATTTTGGTTTTTTTTTTTGGGGGGGGGGGAGGGGGGGGGGGGGGGGGGAAAAGGGGGAAAAAAAAAAAAAAAAAGGGGGGGGGGAAAAAAAAGGCCCGGTTCCCCGGGTTGTTATAAGGGGGTGTTTTGTTGAAAAATTTTTAAGGAATTTGGGGGGGACCACAAAACCTGGTTGTAAAAACCGAAAGGTCGTTGTAAACGATGTCGTTATAAACGGTTTTGACTGTACTACTAAAACTAAAATTATGATATGTTAATGAATAAAAGGGGTTTGGTGTTATTTTATTGGACTTTAAAGTATATTTGTATAATTAAAAACTTTACAGGTGAAAACACAAGCCTGGGAACAAACTAAACAAATTAAGCTAGAGAAGAAAGAGAAGCGTACGCATAGAAAAGAAATAAAAAAGAAGATGATAGCAGAAGGAAGGAATACTAAGAAGAGAAAGACTGTCACTCAAGAGGAGCTACAGGAACTTGCAGCTGATGTAGCTTTATTAAAGAAATTGAAGAAACGAAAGATTAGTGATGACCAGTTTGATAAGGCATTCAATGTTGACAAATAAATCATTTTACCTTTGATAGTTTTTCTTTCACAGCATGCCTACCTTTAAGCAGATGAAAGAACTCAACATGTTTATTTTGTTGCTAAATTCTTACTCAACCAATACATAACAATTTCACATGATTTTTACAGTTGAATTATTTGAATGTTTTAATTACTTTTTTACTTTATCTTGTCGTTCTTTAGCTTATTTTTACTGGTTAGCATTACTTTGGAATCGAGGAAGAAGAAAGTTGAAGTTTGTTGGAAGTCATGTTTGGAGAAGCTTTTCGCTCCATTCAGTTTATCTTGATAGGGGTACCGATAAAAGACTAGTGCTATATTTATTACGTCATTTCGCGAAATAAGTATGTCTGAGTACCTATCTCTGGGATTTAATAGTATGAATCCATTTTTTTCTTGTTAAGTTCTTTGAAGGGTTTCTTTTGGCTCCCAGTATTAATTAAGTTCGATACGTCGTATCCTTTCGGAATTTACATTATTTTATAATTTTATTTGGAAGTTATATATATACAATCACCAGCTATACAAGAACGCTGGTGATGTAATTCACGGCTTTTCTTGATGAAAAGCCTTTTGCCTGACAATTACAGACTGTTCTCTCATTCCTCGGCCTTCTACAAACCCAGCTTGTTCGGAGTCTTCCTTATTTCCCCATACGATGTTTGGTTTTAAGGGCCTTATCATACTAGCGGATTGAGAGCGACTGCGGGGCGGGACGGGCGCGCAGCGAATCCGTTGCGGCTGAGCCACGTATGCGCAGCGAGACCGCCGCAAATAGCAGCGTGGACGCCATTTTGTACAGTCTCGTACAAACGCCAGTCTGTCCGCCCCGCCTCACTTCAGTTCGTAACGAGACACGAATGGGAGATTGTTTTTTTTTGTTTCAATTGTGATATATTTAAACGATTTGATTCTATATTAATTCTCAATTGGCTTCTGTCAAATATAGTTAAATCTGAACTTTTTCCATATGAACCAACATCAACAAATATGTACTTGTAGTTGGAGTCACAGGCGGCTAGCAAATTCCTAGAGAAGTACTTTTTGTATTTAAAATATAGAGCGCCGCTATGACACGGCTTTATCATCCTAATATGTTTGCACTGCACCTATGCAATTGGGAAAATCAGCATTTTCTAGAAAATTCTCAAACCTTTTGAAAATATGAAACAAGTTTATAATAATAGCTTGACATGTCTCTCGAACAAATTTTTTGTATTGTTGAAAATCCATTTTGTAACTGAGTGTATTGTACGTCATTAACTCGCTGCGCGTCCGCAACGAATTTGCTGCGCATGCGCGGCGCAGCAGCGGCGTCTTCGCGACCTATTCGCTGCGTGCCCGCTCCGCCTCTCTCAATCCGCTAGTATGATAAGGCCCTAAATAGCGAGGTAATCCTGGTGATTTACATCGAGCGATGTCTGTTTTAGTTCAATTGAAATAATACTACTAGTGAAAATAGTAAAATAGACATTTATTTCAGCTCAACTTACATAACTGCAACATTTTGAGTATTTACCTAAACCAACAAGGCACATCATTTCGAATTGGTCTGACATATTTAAATGTATTTAATATAATGCTATCATTTACACTATAATAATTTTAACATTTCTTTCTGGTAAAAAGTAATAATAAAACAAAGTAATGAAAAAATGGCAATACAAAGTTCATAGATAATAATCCACAATAATACAGACACATTACGTTGAAAATTAATAGCACGTCAATAACAATTAGCACCAGTATTGCCATTTAACAAATGCTTATGTGGCCCTTATAAAGGCTAATTGGATTTTAAACTTAGCTCTTCTCATACTATGTAAAATGTCTTTACATACTGTCAATAGATACATTCAATTAGCCAAAATAAAGTGGCCAGTACAATAAAAATGTCAATGGTCCACATTTTAGAAAACAACAATGAATCAAGAACATTGAATAAGGTCATAACTATAAAACATTAATTTTTTTTAACTACTTACATTATGAGGAAATATAAAATTAAATAGTTTTAAAAAGTATTAAAATCGGCGTAGGATTGTATTTACATGACTTAATATTATTTTACAATCAGATATTATTAACGTGGGGGAAGACCTAAAATACTGGCAACCCTAAGGCTTATGCACCCTTATTCAACTTAGACGATTTTTAAAATAGAGGAATAGTTCAACATCTTTTGGCACCTCATATTAAATATATTTTTTTTATTGTGCGTTTTATTTTACTATTTTCATTTTAAATCTTAGTATTTTTCTATAAATCGGTTCTTATTTACACATTCTCAGGAAAGTAGTTATTATAAAAAGCGATAAGCCCCATTAATTCGATAATAAGCATTTAATCATTTGGCACAATTCATAAATTCCAGTGGATTTACTGTAAATGTATACCTCAGCTACGAAAATACTAGCTATCTCTCCCTAGCAAGAGTTTAATATGCTAAAATGGGTTTATAATGCAAGGGGTGAACAGGTAATTATGACCCTGCAATCATACGTTCGGGCACAATAAGCAATTATATAATTTACAATAAGTACACAAAGCTCGATAATTCCTGCGTTTACACAATTAAAAAGCTATAAAAACAAAATAATACAAAAAAATATAATTGAAAACTGAAGCTTCACATACGAGGTACGACATATAATAATTTACACAAATAATAACCTTAAACTTAAAAACAAGCATTTCATATAATCTATACCATACTTTGCCTTGTCATGATCTTAAAATAGAACATCTAAATTACGCCATCTTAAAAGTAAAAAAATAATCAGTTATAATACTATTTAATTTAGACTATAATACTATGCTGTCGTCAGTGACAACACAAATGGGTGATCATATATTATAACGGTTTTCATTAGTCAAATTTAATCTTAGATGGTCACCCATCAACATTAACGTGTCATGTGTCAAAAGGACATGACTAGCTGTCATAAAACCGATGACGGTAAAAAGTATATTTAATAATTTTTATTACTTTATTAATGTTGCCTGAGGGTAAGTGGCAAAAAATACATATTTCATTGATTCCTAATTTTTTGTAGATTTTGAGGTACTGTCAACAAATTTAGTATGTAAAAATTATTAGGTATATTTTATAGAATTCACGCTTTTCAGTTATTCTAGTACTTTTTTGGCATATCGAATAAAGCGAGGTATTCCTCTTTCATCATTGGATTATAGCTATTTAATATTCATTCAAAAAAATAAAATAAAAATAAACCATTTTTTACCATTCGTGCCGTGAGCATAAGTTGATGTGGGAATTCCTTTATTGAGAATTTATATAATCGAGTTTAAAATAAACATAAATATACACAAGGATATCGCAATAATATAGTAGATCCCTTATTTAAATTTTATTAAATCTACAAAATTTTACTTATTTTTCAAAGTGATCAGACCCTTATTCAAAAATTAAACAACATACAAAACATATAGTTCCATTTTGATTGCTTTATGAAACAAATTATAAAAACTACTCCTCATCAATAATACAAATATTTCAATTAATGACTCAAATTTTTATACAATTTACCAACATAAAGACAAAAATCTTTACTTTAAGTATCATTTTATAAATTTTTTTAATTATATATTTTATTAAGAATTTAATTTAAAAAATTGTTTTTTTAAATTAAATTTTATTTTTATATTCTATTTTATCAAGAAAAATTATTTTTAGTTTAACAAACACAAAAAATAATAATTTTTTTTAAATATATTTTACTTAATTAATTGTGGCAAAAAATACATATTTCATTGATTCCTAATTTTTGTGACTGAAAAATTAACATATTAAGGCACATTAAAAATCTTTAAACTTATATTCTATAAATTTGAATAAATTTATTAATATTTAATACAAAGCATTATAAAAAGACTAAGCAATTAAAAATATTTCAATAGTGTATCTTCTATTTGTTTCCATCGTGGTACTTTTATTATTGAAGGTTTTGCGAGTAAATAAAGCTTTACCATAACTCGTTTGAAACTTGACTATAAAACATTTTAGAAATCATTAGAAAAGATTTACACAAATAAATTGTTATTAAAATGACGCGAACAGCAACATTAAATGTACTTTAGTAATCAATAATCTGTGTCGTAAAAATTTAGATTCAGAATTTTTGAATGCACTATGCTTTTCGCACTCAAAAAACCATATCGCAAATGAACAACTGAGCCACATTGTGTTTACATTAATTTAGAATATTTTATTATTAAATTCACAATTAGCGACCTAGTTAGCGCCACATTAATGAGATTTGATACATTTAATACAAATCCCTCCTTTATTTACTTACAATAAAATTATGATATCTCAAGACGCGATGTTGGAAAGCCAACCAAATAATCTAATATATTTATGTCAAAACTTAATACAAATTCCTAAAAACTCTTAGTCACAAAGGCACGGTATTTTTTTAATATCATAAGATTTTGGATTATCTAGTGCTTAGTCTATAAAATCGCGTCTTGAAATACAGCTTGTCAAATGTTGCGTGTTGACAACTGACATCTGTCAGAGTTGACACGTACGTTTAACCTGCGTCACTCACACTTCATCGGGCGCCATATTCTCTTCGTGATTGTGGTCTGGCTGATCAGGGGCAGGAGAAGGTATGGGTGGTATTAAAGATTTTACCGTCGCTTCCAGCGCGCGAATACGGTTTTCCTGCTTGACGACCACCGATTTCAGTTTACGTATTTCGTCGGCTAAGTCGGATAGTTGCTTTTCCTAAAACGGGCATAACATAATCAATTAGCAGAAATTTTATTTGTAATATAAATAATGAATGTTCAAGTTGCGTGATTAATCTACGAAGAACATAATACATATAAATGAAGCTTTATATTATAAATTCAATACGTACAACAAGAGGATTCAAAGTAGGCGGCGGCGTAGCAGACGCAGGCGTTCCAGCGTTACTATCCACTCGCGGTGTCGGTGATCTATTATCCTTGTCTTCTTCATCTCTTCTCCTCTCCCTTTCTCTTTCTTTTTCCTTCTCTCTGTCCTTTCCGGTGGCAAGGGCGTTGGTTCTTTTAGTAACAGTTAGCTGTTGTGCTCGGCCACTCACGTATCCTCCCTGGACGACAAGCGCTCGTTCCTGCATTTGGTTCAAACCCCCCCAGAGAAATTAATCCTGTCGGCTTTTGCTACTTCATATCTTAGTTTAAAAAACTATGGCCATTTTTTGACGTTCTTCAATGTTTTTTTTAATGCTGAAGGCAAACTTGGCACTTCTTGAAATTGCGTTTAAATAATGGATAATAATATAAATAAGTATTACGAGAAAAAAATCTTAATTTTAGGTATAATACATTACACTCCATAGAAGAAACTAAGAATGATCCCAGAATTTAGCACAAATAGATCTAAAGGCCAAGTTAGTAACACAACATCTAATTAGTCCACACAACACGCTAGTTAAGTAAAGCCAACAAAATCACACTTCTCTGAGGGTGTTAACCGAATGCATAAAAATACTCTAAAAAGCTGATATTTCTAGAAAAATCTTTGCAACACTATCGTGTCTCGGAATCGTCAGATTTTGTAAGAAATCAACCTTTTAGACATGAGCAAGTTCACCGACATTTCAACGGCTTTGATAATGTTAAGTGGTTGACACAAATATTTGGCAACCCTTTGAAATGTCGACGAACTTGGGGTTTTAGTGATCCATGACGATCAATTCATACTGGTATCATAAGCATTATGCTAATTTAAAAACGTAAGATATTTTTTTAAATACCCCTAAAGTTTACTTTAGATCAGATTTAGAACCATATTCTAAAACATATTTCTAGATCTGTCAAACCATCTCTGATTTTGAAGGTATGAGTTACTTTAAACAAATGTTTAATGCGATAGACACTTTCGCGAATAATGAATTATTTTCACATAAGGCAAATGGTATCTGATTGAAAATTTCTTAACCAATATTTGGTAACTAATAAAACTGATCCTTATGGAGTGGTTAACTCCATCCATAGATCGATTATGATATGATAATATTAATAACATTATATCATGCTTGAACCAATATAGTAACTTCTATTGATTCCAAAAATACAAAATATGGGTTTATAAAAGAGTACCAAGTAGGTAGTAAACTAAGGTAGATCTTGCTGTATTAGTACTAGAATATAGCAGTTTATCACCTCAAAATTGTAATGGGATTTTGGTTTACTACAACAATACTTCTCATTATTCTTGCCATACCTTCAAAGACATGGTACAGGGCTCTGCATCTTCTCCCGAGAGCCACTCGTCAGCCGTGAGGCTGGCTTCATCAGACAACGTGTCGGGGTAGAGGTCTTCTTGGAACAGCTCCGATTTTCGAGGCACCGTCATCGATACCACCTATATCATATATTGTAAACGATTTAGAAATATTTCTTGTGTTTCGTCTTGCAGGCCTTCTATAGTGTATGGTTATTTATATCACTCATTGCCATGGTATTTTCTATGACACATAGTTGAGAATATTGTTTTAATCTTGTCTGTATATACATTTGAAAGCCAAGTAAAAAGTGTAGCGGTTTTCAAGAAAATTTACAAGCAAATTTCAATGAGTCTAAATTGATTTTCTGTTCTTAGAAGAAATTTTTAATTTCCGGGTTTTCATTTATATCTAACATAGTATTCGTCGACATAATGTCCGTGAACAAATGAAACAAAGTTTGGTATAGGGAGCGTTCAAGTATTACGTAACGTATTTGGGGGGTCCTTTTGTGAAACGTTACGATGCGGGGAGGGGATTAAATTAATTTTTTTCGTCTTACACCACATAATAGTAACTTAAGAGACACAAGGTGGACACGAAACGTTTTACTATACTTGGGTACTGAAAAACGTTACGGCGAGTTACATGTGGGGGTGGGGTTCATAATCTCCAAAAATTGCGTTCCGTAATACTTGAACGCTCCCATACAATTGCTAAACCATACCTGACAGAGCCCGGAATTATTGAGCCGGTAGAACTTAGCAATTTCGCAGGTGGCGACATCACATCCACGTTTGGGCATCATACCGATACCTGGAAATAATTTGTTATTAATCAAAAGTTTGTATAACGGTCAATCAACTAGTATAGTTAAAAATACCTCTTTGGGGATCTGGCGTTTGGAACGTATTGATGTAATGTACGAAGGGTGGTTCTGGTGTCACCTGTAAATTATCGGTAAGTATTTTTAGTCCGAGATGAACATCCTTTATATATCATAGGAGGTTAACGTACTGAAATTATTCTGAAGTAGTTATTTAATGAAGAAAATTTACGTGTTTAATATCAGTTCTAGTTTTAATACAATATATTTAAAGGCAAGACTGGCTGGTATAGAAAAAAGCATGTCAAAAACAAGTTAAACAAAAAAACTATACTAAATAGTCTCCTCCACTGAAAGCCAATTGCCGTATTAGGGCATCATAGCGAAACAATCAAATCTGAATTTAATTTAATAAATTATTTTTTATAAAAAACTAGCAGATTGGCCAAGCGTTGCTGTGGCTAAGGTTTTTGTTATAATACACAGAAGCAAACTATTCAAGGGAAACGGTAGGAGAATACCAGTCATGGGGACCACCATGCTTTTTTGGTGGTAATGCCATTAAATTATAGCTTATGTGAAACGTTGGTACTTTCAACACAGCGCAATCTGTTAGAATTGTGACTTATAAATAATAAACAAATATTTTGCAATAAAATATTATTGCGGGTATAAATTGAGATGTAAGCTATCCTATCTTTTAAGATAGATCAAACTGCACACGGTGCAAATTTGATTGATATCGGTTCGGTAGTTTAGGAGTCCATAGCGGACAAACGTGACACGTAATTTATATATATTAAAACTAGCCGTTTCGCGCCCGCTTTGCTGGACGAATTAAAATAAATTTTATGTTTCATTATTTTATTTTTTTTTTTCATATTTTTATTATTCTTCTTTTTAACTTCCCGCTAAGAAAATTGAAATATTTCGAAAATCGAGTTTTTAACAGATGTTGACGTTTAGAGGTTCTAGGAAGCCTCCCCGAATGTTTCCGCGGTGAAGTCCGTATGGATAAATTTTCATAAAAGTAAAACAGCAATAAAAAAAATGAAGGAACGTTGGAATTTAATAAATAAATAGCCATAAACCATCTAGGAAAAATTTCGCATCGAATGGTGGTAGTTTCATGTCGATACGATCAGTGGTTTAGGCGTGAAGGAGCCTCAAACGAAGACCATTTTCCTTTTATATATATAGATTATAATTCACATTTCTTAAATAATAAATAAATGCATATTCTTTTTTGCCTTACCTCAAAGTATCTGATAACAGAATCTCCCTTTCCACACAAATAGATGAGGTTAGTGTCAGGGTCATATAGTGGAAACATGACTCCATTGCTGGTATCAATCTCCACAGTCACTATGGGCTCATTGAGCGCATCCGGGGTACGAAGTGTGTATTGACGCTCCGACATTCGGCTGAAACTGTTTAAAGAGGTATTTCTTGAGGTCTTGTGCCAGAATTTGTTTGGTTATAATTCGAACTCGATCGACATCGGGCCAAATAGAATACTAAACGTCAATAATTTATTAGACATTAAAGTAAATAGTATTTATAAAGTCGAAAATATAGTGTGGTTACAAATTACAATTCAGTATGATATAGTTATTAGAATCGATTCGATTTTATAAGAACGAAGGCATGATCGAGCACTCGATCGGAATTCAAGATTTTTAATTGAGTTAGTTTGAATCTATTAGATTGTTTCAGAATTCGCATCTGTCGGTAGAAAAGGTTATAGGCGTAATAATAAAATCAATAAATCACTGGCACTTTTTAGGTCTGGGGCTCAGATTTCTGTATCTGTTTCATGATCATTTGCCAATCTTATAGGCAAGTAGGTGATCAGTCTTCTGTGCCTGACACACGCCATTGACCTTTTGGGTCTAAGCGAATGGTAAATGCGCACATAGAAAGTCCAAAGGTGCACAGCCGGGTATCGAACCTACAACCTTAGGGATTAGAGTCGCACGCTGATGCCACTAGGCTAACACTGCTCTATAGGCGTAATAGATAGGTTTAAAAATAATTTTGTATTCATGTGACTGTCGGCTTTATTGCATTGTGTTAAAGTGCATTATAGGATACACAAAAATTTCATACTTAGTGGTCTACGGTACGGTCAATAAAGCAACCGGTACCTAGTCGCAGTTGCTTGGTATTAGTCTAATTTATTTAATTAACATTTTCAAATACGAAACTAAAAATATAGTATCCGTTAGGTCTAAATGTAAACGAAAAGATAATTAATAAAAGCTGGTTTTAAACAATTATCTGAAATAACTTACAAAAATAAACACTCACCCAGTCGTAAACACAAGGCCATGTTTTAAGAATATAGCTCTGGAGGCTTTGCTGCCCTCGTGAGCTATCGCTTCCGACTCTACCTCGCCCTTTCTTGGGTCTATTATCCTGAAAAGTAACAAAGTCAAAGCTAATTGTAAATTTTTTAGTTACTACTAAACGAAATATCCAATTGTATTTCCAAAATCAATTCAACTCCCTCCTAGGAACCTACTTTTGTTTTGGGAATTTCACAGCTAAGGGAGCGTTCAAGTATTACGTCACGCAATTTTTGGAGATTATTGAGACCCCCCCCGTGTAACGCGCCGTAACGTTTTTCTGTACCAAATAGTTAAACATTTCTTGACCACCCAATGACTCTTTATACCTAAAAGTTACCATTATGTGCTGTAAAGTTCTGGAAATTCGAAAATAATATTAACAATAACGCGTAATTCAATACCCGCCCCGCATCGTAACGTTTTAGAAAAGGACCCCCCCTCCCAAAATTCGTTACGTAATACTTGAACGCTCCCCTAAGCAAAACACACCGAGTACTTTTGCCCGTAATTCTCGGATATACTACCTTAATCTAACGAAACAGTCATAGGGGATTTTCCAAGGTTAAAACTCCACTCTCACCTGATCTTCTTATCACGGCACGTTGTAACTAGCTTCGACCCTGTCCAGTTCCAGCAAGCTGAATAAATGAGGTCCGGGTGACAGTCCAAACTGAGTAGCACCTCCCCAGTACCAACATTCCATATCGCAATCTGGTTGTCTGATCCAGCGGTGAGCAGGACGTTCTGAGCGATGGGATGCCATAATACGAGGCCGACTCGACGCTGGTGGTACACGAGATCTACTACTGGTTCCGTTAACGTTCTTGATATTCCACCATCAGGGATTTGCCATACCTGAGTTGTAATGGTTTTATTCAGTTATGCCGACTTACTTATTTGAACATTATCCGTCAGAAAATATTTAAAATGGGAAAATACAAATGAAAGTCGAACTATTTCTCAGCCTATACCGACATTTTTTTCTTAGTCTGTGACAAGTAATGTTCTAACTCCTATGTCATATTATAATTATATGACGCTGGCTAATGCACAAATCGTGCCAGAGCCATAAAAAAAAAAAAAAAAATTATATACCTTTACGACACAGTCTTCAGAGCCGCTAGCGATGACGTTGTCATTGTGTGGGCACCATGCGATGTCCAGCACCGGGCCCTTGTGTCCGCCCACTAGTGGATGATCAGCCGGGATGCGGCCCACCTAGAAGATTTATGACCTAATTTATTTTGATGGCTAAAAATAAGTCTCCTTAAATAAAATAATGGACGTTATTCAGCAGTTATATTTTTTTTGTGGAAAGTGTGGTTTTAATGTGTTATATTTCATAACTAATACTATATTTCGAATTTAATATCAAAAATACTAAATAAACAATTTTCATTGTATTTCTTAATTACGATTATGTATCATTTCGCTATAAAATATTGTTGATTAATGAAAATGTAATTAATAATTTTCTACTTAGTTTTTTATTGATAAATAATGTACAGTTTTCAGAACATAAGCAAGAGATCGTGTCAAAAATTTATTCAATATAATATTTAAAAAGCGATCTTAATTCTACATCAGCCAGGAATAGTCCGCCCATATAGTAAATTATGATTACAAATCTCAAAATAGTACATCGCACCTACTACGCGTCACGCTTAAAATACCAAACGCAGCTAAAATTATCGAGGTAAGTTTGCTAATTATACTCTATGACAAGTTTCCCACGACTAGTCAATATATGCGATTATCGTTTGATGAAGTAATTTTATACGGCACGTGTTGGTATAATCTACACTGAAATCGCATTTTCTGTACATATATATTATTGTGTATATCACATCTATGATTTTGGATTTTGTATGAACATATTTTACTGGCCTTTATTTTTCCTATATGATAGTCGAGATCGAGATTAATGTACAAGTAAATATAACAAATTGTAATGTTTGTACTGATTTTAATTATAGCCCATAGAGGATTACAAAATATACGAAATAGATATATAGTATATACACTTTTGTAATATTTATTTACTAAGTGATACGAGAATGATAACTAAAATTAAATATGTACCTATTTGAGGATTATTATTGTTATGTAGGATTTGTACTTAAATGTGATTCAATGTTAAAACAAAAAACCATCGAATAGCTACTACGTTTACTAAGGTTTCGTTTATTGATACTTTACTAAGTTACTTAACACCACGTTATTTCTTTTATGTTACATTACAGGCGATTACCATTAGTTGAGTTTATCTAATCTCCTCACTTGATAGTGAATTTGGCTTCAGGAAGCGTTCAAGTATTACGTCACGCAATTTTTGGAGATTATTGACCCCCCTGGTTACGCGCTGTAACCTTTTTCTGTACCCAATAGTAAAACGCTGACCACCCAGTGACTCTTTAAATACCTAAAAGTTACCCGCCCCGCATCGTAACGTTTTACAAATAGACCCCCCTCCACACTCTTCGGTGATGGCTTCATGAAAAGGCAATTTTTATATGAAATAAAAAAATTATATAGAGTTCATGGCATAGCATAACTCTTAAAAATATGATCATAATAGCTATGCAACAATAGTATAAATTGACATGACTTTCTACTGATTTACCTCTAAATCGCCACACTGTCTAGACTGTATACTAATATTTCAATTAGTACAATTTATGTATTTCAACGAGGTCAGCCAAGCATGTCTCTATAGGTTAATAAACTGTTGTAATATGACAAATCCTTTGTTTGCTGATAAATCTACTTCTGAAGATAACTACGATATATTTCTTAGTACCTTCAAAAGTTAGGTCGATAACGTAACGTGCATAAAGCATGGTTAAAAAAATATGAAGTTTTGTTTAATTTTTGTAACCACAGGGTTGGTAGTGTGTTTTGAGAGAAAATCAATTATGGTGGCTCATTAATCCTAATAAGTAAAAACTTAAATGCAAAGAAAGAAAGGATATTATCAGCCTCTCTGTAGAACTAACTATTGAAATCTCCTGTGTGGAACTGGAGCAATTCATTGTTGTATGTCTATATTGTCCTCCATAGCTGTCTATAATTATTTGAAAATGTAAGAGAGATATTGTGTAAATTAGTAAAGTGTAATAAAGGGCAATTGTGGGGGACTTTAATTAATTTACTTTGTCATTCTAATCAAGTGAGATATTGTCTTTGTCATACAATTTAATAAATCAATTTCATTCACCCACAAGAATAACAGCTAGCACCGAACTTGTATAGAAATATATAGAAAGCCCTTTGAATGTTTGTATTTTCAATAGATTAAATCTGATACACTGGTCATGGTTTGAATTCAATAAGGAAACAAAAAACATGTAAAAAAAGAAAATTGTGATAACTCCTATTAAATACCTTTGAAGATTTAGAAAATTGGTTATAGAAGATTTCTGTGTGGCAACTCATCCCCTAATAATTTATAAATACTTTTTTTGGATCATTTATTGATGAATTCAAGAAATATTTACTCAAAGACTTTATTGGTCTCTGAGAAAACAAGTTTCTGTACTGGGCAAATGAGGAGTTACAAGGAAAAGGTTAAAATTATATGAAATCTATGACGAAATGCAATATAACACTAGTGTGGAATTAGGGAATATTTAGGTTTATTCAAATAATTTCAAAAAATTGCAAACTGCAAATCTCAATATTTAAGTTCAAAAATAAAAAATAGCATGGATAAAGTAAAAGCTACTGGAAAATAATAAATGAAGAATCAGGTAAAACGTCTGACAAACGAACTGATTATATTTAAAAGTTAAAGGGAAGTTAATAAAATCTGACCCAGAGGTAGCTTCTTCTTTTGAAGAGTTCTTTACAAATGTACCACTAAATACGACCAAGTCCCTAGATTCTTCACCTGCTGCTGCGATCTCATTGCTAGAAAAATGTGTACCTGAATGTAATATTAAATTTCAGTTTAAACATATAACTTGTAATGATATCGTTAAAACTTTTAAGCTTATTAATTTAAAAAAAGTAAAGATATATGGGTATTCAAAGTTATGATTGTGGAGTCTTTCGGACGAAATGAAATTAAGTAAGATTACACCGTTTTCAGGCCGAGTGAGTCTGATCGTCAACTTCAGACCTTCGTCTCCCTGGTTGAGCAAAGTTTTTGAAAAGATAATGTGACCAGCTTTCTTTACATTTTAATAAAAATAAACTCTTACATAATAAACAGTATGGTTTCACTAAGGGTCGCTCCACAATATGGGTGTAAGTTGATTTCGGACATATTTAACGCCTGGGAAGAATCATATGATGGAGTCGGTGTGACTGTCAAAGGCCTTTGACTGTGTTCATTGAAACTTTGGAAAGCTTCAAACTATGGCGTTGATGAAAGCTTCCAGCTGATGAATCTATAAAGGGAAGGATCAAGATTATTAATGAGTCACCTCTGGTTGCAGGTATATGGGTCCCCAAGGATGATTCTGGTTCTTATTTCTTATTTACATATGACCTCCCATCTTTGTCAAGTTAGAGATGGTATTGTGTGTACACTTCACTTCTATTTAAAGTGAATAGGAATAACGTATATTGACGATGTAAACAATTCTATCTCTTAAGTACTGTTTAATGTAAATAATTATTGCTTAATAAATAAAAAAATTATAGATACTAGCTGGAATATTGTAACTGAAAAAAGGAATGAACTAAACTTTGTTGACAAAACTGTTTTTCTAGGATAAAATAGATAGTAAACTCAATGGGGCCCAAATAGAGACTCTTTCGAAGGCGCACAATAGTAGAAAATCCGACTTTACGATAGGAACGAAATTGTTACCATAGTCTTTCATAGCGTATTAGCATTTTACTGTGGGGTGTGTGAGAGGTAACCAAGGGAGAAGGGGGGGGATGTGTGTGAGGGAGTGGTAGGAATAAGTTTAAGGAATTAAATATTATGACACTATCTGGTAATATATCTTGAAGCTTGTTGTATGTCAAAAAAATATAAAATTTTAAAACAAATGGTGATTTCACATATAATAGGAAATAGAACTAATTTGAGTGTAGACAACAGGCTCAAAAGATAAACCACTCCTTATATGGAAATTGTATTTTTTACAACAAGCTCCCAAGCGAAATTAGAGAATTATATAAATAAATTCAAGCCCTCTTAAACAAAATTAATCAACAAAGCTTTTTATAAATTTGAGGACTACTTAAATGATCCTAATCTTGATTAATTTCCATTCAAACAATTTGTATGACAAATTGATTAAAAAGAGTGGAAATTTCTTGAGTTTTACGCTAGCTTGTGCGAACTGTAGTAAATTAAATTTAATAATTTAACTTAGATTAGTATGTATACTTGAATAAAGAATTTTGGTTTGAGTGAGGATGATCGAAATCAGGTACCTAATGCCCAAGCAGTTTCAACAATTTCAGTAAAATAACTCACTATTCGTTTGTAGTTCTAATTATTTAATTATAATTAACAAAAAACAGACTAGCCTAACTTCACGCAGCCGTGAGCAGCAGACTACATCTTGTCTCAGACACCGAAGTGTATATAAGAATTCGTATAATTCAGATTAATATATATTGTATGTACACATCAGAAATAACAACAAAAAAAATTATCCTTTATACTAGCTACAATATAATTTTCATCACGAAGACGTCCTGAATAACACAAATAGAAACGGGGACAGAATAAATTTAAACCACCTGAGCTCATTTACACGAATATTTGTTAAAATTTAGGCCACTTTCACATCGGTAGCAGTTTTTGAGGTAGTGTTTTAATTTCATATAATATATTAAGTTTTATTAACAGCGTATGATACAAACTATACGTACAAAAATGTATTTTACTTAAGAAAACTTCAGTTTAAAAGCTTGTCTTAACGTTCGAAGATTTTGTAAACAGGAAGAATATTGTTTAACAATGTAAACACGGATAACAATTACTAATATGTATACACGATACGATGTATCAAGTTCATTGGATCACTTGTCATGTAATCACCGCGTGTTTATTGACATTGCGTCTAAACCGCAACTAGTGCGAGGGTAGTCGGTACTCAGTAGTAACACTTTTCTGGTATGGTAAAATCTTGGTACAGTCAAAGCTCCATTTAGGCGTATATCAAATTTCATCAAAAGCACGAGGGAAATAGATAAAAATTTTGACATCTAAAATATAACTTTAGCCTTTTAGTAAATAGTGGTTATTTATTTATTTACAGCGAATGGCCAAACAGAAACTTAGACTAAAAAACTACAATAAATACAATAAGGTTATTTACAAAATTGACAGTAAATGCTATCCTCTTGTCCCCTCCAAGTATACTCTGAAATCGCAGTATACTACCCCCATAAGCTTCCCAATAGTGGTATATGACTTGTGACGTTATTGAACCTTCACACAGACTAACAAAACTTGCGTTTAGTTTAGACCTAGAGAGAATGTAAACACATACCCCAATAGGTCTTTAGTAGTTATAACATAGTAACCCATGTATATGCAACAAGTTACTTGGCAGTACGATCTATTGTAAATGATTCATACTGACGCCGTCATGACACGGAATAATGAAGTTAGTGATACCACAACGATAACTTTGTTAATGCTTTATTATTCATACTGGCTCGCACCTTTTCAGTACGCGAACAGAAAATTTCATACATTTATAATGAAACCAACAATCAACCAGAGCCTATGCAAGCTTTACATCCGCACGTCAAACAACAGGAATTTTTATAATAAACTTTTACAATAGGAAAATTATGATAATTAAAGGGATTTATTTTAGACAACTTTCTTGATTCACAGTATTAAACATATCACACCGCTATTTGGACATTAAAATATTTGTTTTATGATTTAAAAAAATAATGAAAAATGCGAATTTTCAATTCTACTAAACACAAATATTCAACTGTTTAAACGGCAAAAACCGGAGAGGCAATTTTCAATTAGAAAATAAAAAATTCGCTAAAAAGGTCTACTACTAAAAGGGAACAATAGTAAAAAGAAGAATCTCGTATTTCTTAACATGATTTTCCACCTTAGAAATGAATAGACTAGACCTTCCATTGACCACGACGCAGATCTCCGGCAAAATTTAATGAAAAAAACTAATAGTTTATAGGCCGAAATCTTACAATTCCGGCCGACTGACTCGTTTTCAGCGGGGCGTGTGCCAAATAGCGAATATCATAATTTACCGCGGTGCACACGCCACGTTTGCAGCGCGTGGGAGGACCCTCGCGTTGCCCAATAAATGTGCTTGATATAAACAATCACACCTAATAACAGTTTTAAACTAAACTAAAGGCTTTTAAACAAGTTTATCAGCGGAGCAGATTAATGTATGTGAATTGTAAAAACAGAACTCTTGCAAAAATAAACTGAGAATCGAACAATTTATAGTAATGCGTTCTTATTATACAATTATCTGAATTTTCCTTAATCATTAAAAGTCAAGGCCTATGTTGCATATTTCGCCACATTGAAGTTACATATATAAAAGGTAGATTTTTCTTTAGTTCATACAGCTACCGGTCGGAGCGATTCGTCCATTTAAGTACACGCAATAAGCATTACATAAATGGAAACCTGCACATTCGGAGAAAATTCATCAGGAAGCACATATTAGGCAGGTTGCGATGCGCTGTACTTAGGGTTGACAGTTAACAAATTATAATAATTATCCAATAAGGTATGAACATGTGAGATTTCATATAAAACTATATCCCAATACTGAGCAATAAGATAACAAAATCTCATCTAGACGAGCGTAGGAAGATATCAGAAGCTTGTCTTAAAACAAATATTAAAAATAAAATTGTGGCAGTTGGTTCGTTTATAGGCTCAAGACTTAACTGTACCACGTGTTTATATACGCAAAACTAACCATATTGTCGATATAGAACTTTAATTCGATATTTAAAATACTCCTATCATGCTCAACATAGTGATATATAATTAATAAATAAATGACAGCCCTAAGCCTTAATCAAAGCCGCTCGTCTACTAACTACTCAGGCAGTCTATTTGCGCGTTTGTTATGATTTATTGAACCGAGAACGATCTTGACACACTTGACTCGTGCTTCCTGTGAGATCATTCAAGGTCAGATTTGGTTACCTGCAAATATCTAAGTTTGTCTGCAATCCTAACTAGATATTAATATATACGACAATCCTTTGATTTGGCAAGAGTAAGATATTTCACACAAAATACAACCCACTAAAAATTACAAAAATCAACAATGGCAAAGCTTAAGTTAAGTTACAATTATTCAATGTTTCCAATCAAATAAAATGTTGTTGTGTTCCAGTAGTTTTAAGCATGACCCCATTGCTGGCAATCAAGGAAAAAAGGGATGTGGACATAATAATATATAAAAATTATGTTCTCAAGTGCATTGTGTTCTATCTATTGTTCCATATCAGTAGCATGTTGCACCAAAACAATAAATGTTTAAAAAATTCCATTGACTATCAACTGCATACTAATATCAACTTTATGACAATGAATTTAAGTTGAAATTTTTTAACTGTTAAAACTTCCTGTGATAATGCATATTATTGGTTCCTTTACGTATATATGTAGATTATATATTAAGGTTTTGTTAATGATGTTAACAAAAGAGCTTGTTAAGATAAGACACATAGAAAAATGGGTTTAAGAATCTTTTTAACGCTTTCATTAATATAATTATATATATAGTTCATTAAACAATATATAGTGAAAAGTTATCAAAACATTTGTTTTTCATGTTGCAAGCTAAATCTACATAAGAATCCACATTATTGCATACGTTTTTTATGCCTTTTTATTTCACTAAAAAGTTTTAGAGATATTATAAATACATATATATAAAATAAAATAATAATAAAAACTCAAAGCATACTGTGTGCACTGTTCCCCACAATTGTACTTTATGCATTGTGCAAATAAATACTATGACTGATCAAATGCCCAAAGCCCACAATGAAGAATAAAAAGGAAATGTTCTGTTATGAGAGTTATAGTGCCAACAAACAATAACATACGTCATATTCTTGCTTAAAAACTACAGCTTTTTTTCAAAAAAAAATTTGAAGTACATTAATAAGAAACAAAACAGGTCATATATAGTGGCTACTCAATTACTTCAGCCTTGAGTATATAAAGAAGTGACCTGTGTCTAAATGTCATTGCTGCGTCAGTAAATATATTCCAGAATCTTTAGCCAATAATGACTGGTAAACACTACAGGTCAGGAAAGAGTCAAAGTTTCTAATAAAAAAGCTAATGAAAATGGTGTTTTTGGTATTATTCACATAATATATGTGCATATAATGACATATAAAACTTTTTATTTTATTTGTATTTCCTGTTTTTGTACTCATAATAATAATTTAAAACAAACATAACTTTAATAAAAACATTTCTAAAAAAAAAGTGTTTTCATATTAGTTTGGGAAATATTAAATAATTCCCAGTGAAATATTATATATATGCAACCAATGTCTTGAGTGTGTGTCATGTTCGGTTACTTATACCTATAAAATTTCAGAAATTATTAAAAAAGCTTGAAAGGAAATATAAATCTTCTGTGTGTGTTCATAATTTAACAATTTTAATGAAATTTCTTGTGTCCTAGTGAATTTGAGAATCATTTAGATTTAAATATTTACGTATTTAATATATGTGTACAGGATAAAATCTGTAAGGTAGTCGAATATAATATTGTTTACAACTACACCAATAACTGACGGAATGCAGTCGATGAGTAAGGATAATTTTTAATCAATACTTTATTTTCTTATGATAACATATCTGTACATAGGAAACTAACTGATTAAACAGCAATGATCTTTTATTTACTACTTTATAATGAAACTTTACTGTGTGAATCCACAACTTATTTATAATAAATGATAATAAGATCTACTTAAAAGACTTTAGCCCTATATCCATGATTATCAGCAAGCTAAACAAGCTCATTTTCACATTCTTAATATTAGTAAAGATTGTTTTATCTGGAATATTATTCATTTTGGCACACTAGGTATATAATAACTTTTTGAATAATTTAAAAATAGTTCAGAACTAAATTTGTTTATGTATCATACAAATGCAACTGTATTCATTATTAGTAATAAAAATTATATTTGGCACTTTCGATAAGCGGGAAATTCGGCATTTATAAACACTTATTAATGATCTAAGGCGCTTACCTTATTGTGAGGTAGAACTATGAAGGCACCTCCACCAGCTGACTCTACGATGATGGCCAAAAACTTGGGATTTACAGCACAAAACGTAGAGTCCCAGGAACTCTTTGACACTCTTATATTATCGTAACACTGTTCCCTTTTTAACGCCTGCCCGTAAACGTGGCGAAATTTTGAACTACGAACCACCCTAAACGACATCTGCAAAACCAAAATACGCTAATATATCACTAAATTCACACAATAATAATTTCATTTCAATAATTTCACGTAAAACATAACCTATTTATCACTGTATGACCTATTTTGTCATAACTTATTTTAATAACGTATCAACTCACTTTTGAAATGAAGAAGAAAATTTAATATTACAAGAAATATCACTATGAATTCATTTGAATTGTCCTCGTTTTATTTAGACAAATTAAAATCGAGAGCTACTAAGGTTCGAAGGGAGGACGGTTGGGAAAACGAGCGAACTCCATATTTGGTAATGCTTACAGACGACTACTTAAATAATGTCTTAAAAATTAATTAAACATTGCACAGTAGTTTAATTGTCGTAAAATTAAGTAAGCATTTATATCGTAGCAAAAGTAAGTACAGTATTATTCTAAATATTACCGCAAGTTTTTGATTATATTTTGTTACAAATGACAAGTTATATCCTTATTTCTGAACGCACATTTATAACGTCAAATATTTATAAATATAGTAATATCGAATTGACAGATGACAAATAATTTTAACATTTGCAAATTGTCATCGTTATGTGATGTGATCGATGAACTAACTCATATTAAAGAGAAAAAAAGAATTTGGAGCAGTTGTTAAGTATAGTTACAATATTATGATAAGATATTTAATAACTAAAAGACAAAAGAAAGCGATAAACGAAAATTAATCAATAAAGCTTTTTATAAATTTGAGGAATACTTAAATACTTATGATCTTAAACCTTGGGATTTAAATGCTCCAGTTCAAACAATTTGTATGACAATACTTGGCGATTAAAAAGAGTGGCTGAAAGTTTCTTGCCAGTTCTTCTTACCCGCTCTACGTCCTTGACTTGCGAACTGGTAGTAAATGTAAATTTACAATTAATTTAACTTCTTTCGGACAATTCATAAGTGTACTTGTTACCTACATGAATAAAGATATTTTGAGTTTGATATATTATGATAAAAAATATCTTACTTTTGGTTGATCCACGAAATTATCTCTTAGTTTTTCAATCGAAGGTCGAGAGCCAAAGCTGTAGCATCGTTCTCGGCTATATCTTTTTGAAACTTGTGGCCGTTTACCACTCTTGTTTGAAAAACTATTTGGTCTTTTTATTTCCTGTAACAACATAGTTTATAAAAATGCTTATAATAATCCATTAGTAGAAAAAAATGGTTTAAAGTGTCTTTGTTTTCTTCCGTCCAAAGAGAAAGCGCTGACACCATTTATAGTCTCAATTTTTTTAATACTTAAGAATAATTGGGGAGTTTTATTAAGATTAATTCTATAGCAAGAAAAAGGGGACCAAATACTCTATCAGTATCTACCTGCCATACCTGGCTGTGATCATAAGGGGATACGGTATTTGTACCCTACATGCTAGACGTTGTACAATATTATGTTATGACGTAAATATTTTATCCCGTCTTTTAAAATCCTTAGAGGACACACACAGAACAAAGTTTTGCAGTCGTGAATCTGACTTGAGTCGTAATTATATCTGCTATACTACGTTTCAGGACTACAACTATGTGCCAATAAAACTCGAACCGCCACTTAGGTTGCACGTGCTACCGAAAACGTCTGAAAAAAGCTGCGGTCGCTAACATCTGAATAAAGTTTTCGTTACGTCATATTTTTTTTTTGAACAACTTTTCTTTAAGGAATTATTAATCAATGATTCAATGGCTTCCGTCCATTTCATTTATATCAGCTCTCCGAGCACTCTCAACATTGGTGACCCGAACATGAGCAACGATCGTTACACGTGCTGTGGATACGGAAGTTTTATTTCTAGTTGTATTCCCAGGACGTAGCCCGTATGGTCTGCTTTAAATATGATTATACAGTTTAATTATCTGGTTTAATTATGAGGCATTTCAATTGTCAATAGTTGAGTTTGAAAAAAAAAAACTTTACACTGCATTGTAACCAACCGACTACCTAAATAATCACACGTGGTGTTATAGATATTAAGATTTTTAATTTGACTATTATACATACCGTAACTTCCATATCCATAACTTCTAACTTTGCACTCTAGAAATGATTGACTCAATTTTTGCAAAAAGTACTGAAGATATTTAGTTGATGAACGGCACCCTGAATTTGAGTTTAAAGTACTACTAATGAAATACCGTACTGAAAGATAACACAAATTTGAAGGGAATTTTAACTACCCTCATATTTTAATAAACGCGCTGTTTTCTTATGGTAAAATATATATTATTTACAAACTTTGGTGGAATGGAACGTGTATACTATCATCCTTTGACATTGACAGCAACATTCAACACTTACTATTTTGACGGTAAAATTATAAGTTTTACTTGACAATTATGCAGTTTCAAATTTTAATTTCGGTCGTCTTGCGATAATAGTAAATGTGTAATATATTATTTTTGATTATATGTTTTCGAAACTGTTTAAGTTGTTAGAATGTTTTAAAAATTCTTTACATTTTTACAGTCTTCGACAGATCTAAATAAACATAATGGAAATTGCCAGTGCAAAGGTAATTATAATTTATTTAGATTATTAGTACAATTTCTGTATTATTATCCTTGAATGGCGATACAAAAAAAAAACACATTTAAATTGTATTGTTTAGGCAATTTATAGCAATGAATTATGACATAACAGTTTACACTACTTAACTTATTAGTCAACATGATAGGTGCATCAATAAAAGTAAGATAAAACTACAAGGAATATTCTTTTGTAGAGATTTTCAGGTAGGTTCACTTTAAATGATTGTTTTTTAAAAGAATTTATTGATTAAAACATGTATGAATTAGCATAGAAATTTTCTCTCACTTAAAGCCTTTCTGATTTGTGAAATAAAAAAAACATAAGATTTGCATCAGGTGTTTTGAACGGACACAGAAATATATTACATATTTTTTTTTATCATGGTAGTGAATAATACATATGTTAAGCCTGCCTTTTAAATTATTTATTCTTGTTTTAGGCACGTCACCATAGAGTGGTGTTGTGTGTACTTGGAGCTAGCAATTTGGCATCACTTTTGGCCGCGCTTCACCTAGTTATTCACCTTAATCCAGAAGATAAGTAAGTTGTTATAAGTGACTTCGATCAATAGTATCTTGTATCTTACCCACAAAATAGTGGGATAAAAACTAGTATTTGTACTAGTCCAGTATGTTTGCCTGTCATGTTTCTCCATCAAGTATGAAAAACATCGATATAATTATTTTATTTTGTTATATGTATACACTTGTTTTGATTGTTGTATAGTTTTTTGAGTTACTTCCAGTACTTATCTGTATCTGTTGAACCTTAGTGGAAGTACAGGTATAGGCAGACATATTGTTTAGTATTAATATCAAGTAAAGACTTCGGTATGAAATAATTACCTTATTTAAAGTAATCAAGAAAAATAATAAGAATTTTTGTAATAAATTACGTAAATATTGTAAAGGTTAGCAGATGCGGTGAGTAATTAACATGCTAGCGATATGTGACCTTGTAATACATAAGAATTAATGAAAATTATTTGATGTTATTTTTTACTCTAAAATATGTAAGATTCTTAAAGAATGTAAAGGTTTAAGGAACTGAGGCTGGCTTGCATCAATTAAGAAACTTAATACTTGCCTATTAAGTCTTTAGAAAGCTTGCTTCTTCTATTATATACTTTCTTTGCTTTTATTAGGTCAGTCAGAGGGCCCTCTCTGTGGCTTACTAGCTAACCCTTACTTTGTACAACCTAGTTCTTGTATATGGCATGACATGTTCAGTCTTGAATTTCCAGTGAAACATAAATTATTTTCGGCTTGAAAGCTCAATTACACTCATTACCTGGCTCATGTGTCTGGTGGCTCATGCCCTAGCACATGGGTCACAGCTGGGACTATTATGGAATATGCGTTAGAAATGAGTGACACATAGATTCTTTAAGATATTCATGAGTACAAGAGCTTCATAAACAAAAAACCTGCATTAAGTAGAACTAGTATAAATGCAGGATATACAAGATTTGAGATTGTTATATAAGATTTGTTTATGCTGACTTCCGTGCCATTGTGGTATTGTATGTTTATAATGATTGAAAATTGCACTTCAATATGACAATCGATCAATGTTTTTGAATTGATAAAAAGAGCTCAAGAGTTAGTATCTTTTTAACTGATAAGAATATAACAATAAAATTTGTGCATCAATGACACTCACTGCTTTTATCATCCATTTTAATTAGCGAAAGTCACATTTTAAGTGATAAGTGATTATTTATTTTAAAGTAGATGACAATTATGCATATATATCTAATCGAAATTACAATATGTTAACTGGCTTGCCTGGCTTTTTTTAAATTAAATTAGAGATAAAGAATGACAAGCATACTTACATGAATTTTTATAAATTTCAGCTTTTAATTTTTTATTTGTATACTGATGTAAACTAAAAATAATGTGTTAATTAATTTCTAAAATACAATGTTATGAAAACTATACAAGGTTGGTTTATAAATATAGTGCTGATGCTAAACTGGATATGACTTTAAAAATTCAAATTTGTTTGTTAATTGCAATAGACAACAGGAAAACACACTTTAATGATTCCCAATCAAGTTACTTTACGAATGAATGGTATAGGCAAAAATTAGAAATCGACCAAGTCATAAAGAGAACATCCTTGTTTCTTTCCAACTTGAGTTTAAAATGCAGTTTCTGATTTTACCGTTATAAAGAGAAAACACAAAGGTTTGTTAGAGCAAGGGTTCTTGAAGCTAAGACGTTTTCAGTAAATAATTGTGTCACCTCTAATAGGATTGTGTGAAGTTTTCGCTTACCACGATAGTGGCAAGAAATTTAGTTTAAAAACGTTATCATAACTATAAAATGTTATCATTCTATATCTATATTAAAGGGTTTTCGTTAGAATAATATTATTAAAATAGTTTTTATAATACAGCCAATGTCTGGGTGATGGTGGCTATAGGCGACACTATCACTTTACATCACCTTTCAATTTGCCTGTAGTACAAAAACATCTAAAAAGATACAGGCGTTGATTAAAGATCAAAAAAACTTTTATGAATTTCAGACGTTGCCTTGATCGTGGCATCTTGCGTTAATCTCGCAAACAATAAACAGTTTAACACTATCGATAAGGAATGATAAGCTTCATCGTCACGAGTAAAATTTTATTGTTTTGCTGAATAATATTTTACAATTACAATTAATAATATACCGCAACTCCCTAAAGGAACCCCCATTTTTGCGCCAAAATATACAATAACGTTATAATACCATTTAATTGCTTATCACCATAGGATAATAGTAGATTTTTCTAAAATCTGGAGGTTCCAGCTGATTTATACGCCAGGCGCGTGTTGTTAGCGCCTAAGTTTTCTTCTTTAGTTTATCCATATTATATTTAAAAATTGTCGAAAGCAACAATACAATTTACTCATCAGAGACTATATATGGGACAATCTAAAGTAATACATAAGCCTACTTGGCCTTGTTGATAAATACGTGTTCTTACATCCTCCTCATCTTTTGAAGTTATACTTCTTTAGGCGCGTTATGAAAAATTTATGACCCGTGACACAAAATTAGGAGTGTGATTATAGCGTGCGCGAGCGAGATAGGAATAAGACAATCTACAAGTAAAAATTAATAGAATATGCGTGAAGTTCGTATGCCAACAATTTTGAATGACCATAATGACATTTGTCATTTACCTTTTAAACAAATAAAGGAGTTTTAATTATTTTTTCAAAGAAATTTAGCGATGCTTTTTGAATTATAATCAGAAGTGATTTAAATTGAATATTTAAACCAATACTAATTAATATTTGTGAAAAAACTGTGCTCATCAACCTTCCTAAGTGCTTCAATACAATTGAGGTTAACTATCCGTATGTATTATTATTATTATCGAGTAATGTTTTGATTAAAAAATTAACCACATTGTTTAATCAAAACATGTAATTTTTCTGATTTTATCTAGCAAATATAAGGAAAAGAGACAAAAAACAATTGATGAATCAGTGTAACTGCACTAAATTGAATACAAAAAAAGAGTTTTCATCTTATCGCTGTGAAACATCAAAAACTGGAGGTGGAACAAAGCCAAACTATTTTTAATATTGCCAAAGAAGTATAACTTCTTACGCGCGTACATAAGTACACGGACCCTTTTTTTTTAGTTACTACAATTTTTTTATTGTTGGTCAAATATAATTTTGAAATTTCCCCCTTGTTTACCGTTTAACTTAAATTTTGTACTACACTTTGGATTTTGGCACTGTTTACATTTTCAATAATAACTATCTAGTAATGTTTCACATTTAATAAAAATATATTATTTTATTAATTCAATATGCATTATATCTGTACTAACTAATTTTATCAAGTATGGGGAACCTTGCAATAGAGCACTAGAATTAAACAGTATGGGTCTTAAAATCTTAATTTATATATAAATTACGTGTCACGTTGTTTGTCCGCTATGGACTGTCTAAACTACCGAACCGATATCAATCAAATTTGCACACCGTGTGTAGTTTGATCCAGGGACTTAAAAGATAGGATAGCTTACATCTCATTTTATACCCGGGCAATATTATTTGTCTGTTGCAAAACATTTGTTTATTATTTGGTAGTCAGCAATGTCTAACAGATGACGCTGTGTTGAAACATCTACGTTTCACTTACAAGTGCATAACTTTGAATGTCCATAAGCAACAAAAAAGCATGGTAGATTGGTGTTCTTCTGCCGATTTTAACTTTTGAATAAGTTTACTTCTATGTAATATAACAAAATCTTAGCACAGCAACGCTTGGTTCCGAGTCTATGCTAGTTTATAATTACAAATGTTCCTAGCTTATCAATCTTCTATCTTAGACATTTATAAAATACTACATAGTATAAAACAAAGTCGCTTTCTCTGTCCCTATGTTTGCTTAAATCTTTACACACTACGCGTTTACGGATTTTCATGCGGTTTTTTTTAAAGAGTGATTGACGAAAGTTTATATGTATAATAACATCCATTAAACTATTGTATAGATGGGTAGAGATACTGTTATGTTTGAGGATTTCTAATGTGATGTCGTAAATCGTAATTTAATTTTTCCATTACATTAAAAATCTTTAGGGTGGACTACCCTTAACACTAGGTTTATCAAAATAGATGTCGACTAAGTATTGTACACATTAAAGATCTACATGAGAACGTCGTCAGGATGGTATATCTATACTCTCGACATGGATATCCACAATAAACTATCCGGCAATTTTTGTCATTTATATCTTTTTACGACATAATCGTAGAGCGGGGGGGAGGGGGGGGGGAAAAAAATTTTTTAAATTTTTTATATATTTTAACCAATACAGCACTTACCCTTAATCCAATTAAATACCCTTAAAAATTGTTGGGGGACTACCCTTAATATAGGGATCTAAATATGTTGGCCGTTTACAGACATATGATTTAAATTAATATTTTCGAAGAGTATGGTACAAAATTTAAAATTGCGGGACACAGCGAGTTTGAGGCCGCGGTTCTCCCTATACCCTATAGCAATTTAGATATATACGGTTTTCGTTTAATTTTTATTCTGTTCATTTCAGAATTTCAATAAAACGCGGAACAGCGCTCACATTGTTGGGCTTCGTCTATTTTATGACACTGTTCGAACTATTCAACGTAGCGGCTCTCTTCACTAGTCTCGGAGCGAGGTTTAGACACAAGTTCAGATTGAGTTCGGGCGATGTACTCGATATTACAAACAAGTGAGTATATACGTAGTTCCATTGGAACTAACTTCTAATGGTGTTAAGACAGGTCATGTCTAAATAAAAATTCTCTTAAGTTAGACTTGGAAAATAACTATAACCCAATATTGCGCCTGTATCTATTATTTGAACTTTAGAATACATGATTCTAACCTTTCAGACCTTCTAAGACACTCATTGTCATTTATTGCCGGTTACTTATCGAAGAAATTATGTAATTATAATTTAGAATATATTTAGAAAGAAAAATCTATGGATAGTTCTAACGCAAGGTTGTTTTCAGGACACATTAAAAAATAATAATTATTCGATAATATTTCTGATTTGTGTTGGGCGAGGCACACAGAATCGGTTATCGTAGATAAAGAAAAACAATAGTTATATTTTTTTATGTAATAGGAGGCAAACGGGCAGGAGGCTCACCTGATGTTAAGTGATTCTGGCAGGGTGAGTGTCCATGGACACTCACCCGCCAAAGGCTCGCAAGTGCGTTGCCGGCCTTTCAAAAGAATTGGTACGCTCTTTTCTTGAAGGACCCTAAGTCGAATTGGTTCGGTGGGCAGCTGGTTCCACATAGTGGTGGTGCGCGGCAAAAACTGCCTTAGAAAACGCTCAATGTATATATTTTGTTTTTCTGATATAAGGCTATAAATAAATATAATATTTCAGATTAGTATCAGCTGTGCAAGCAGCGTTTTCTTGTGCGACCGGCGTGGTAGTTTGTCTCTGGTCTTGTACAAGAGATCTGATGCGGTCCTCACATTACATTTCCGAAGCCTACGCGTGGTTCGGTGCGGCCTATTTCTTTTATGACATATGGTCTATGTACATGGTAAGACATTGTGTAGTTTTTAAACTTTGGTAAATTTATGAATCCTCAAACAATTAAACACCAAAATGAATGTGTTAAATTAAAATAAAGATTTAAATGAGACATTTCTATAAGTATTGCTTTTTTTATTGTATGGGGGACAATAATGATATTGTCTTTGTTTGTTCGGATACAATTATTTCTTAATTAAAAGCCCAAGATAAAGGTTTTAATGACATAGGGCCAATGTTTTTTTATTTGCTAGACTACAAAATTGAATAAATTACATTGATTATATTTTCTTAAGCAATATTGTAATATTGTTGGGATATAATTTTTCAGGTACATGTACACATGACCACCAACTCAAACAGCACTCAATCTACGAAGAAGTCCCTTCCATCTGGTGACGCGTTGGAGTCTCCAAAGAAACCCTCATTTTTTGCCTACTGCAAACATGAGCCAGTGATTCTGATGCACCATCTGTTCATTGGTGCCTTCGGATTTCTAGTCATTGTCGTAAGTGTATTATTAAACAAAAAGTGCGTGCGTACAAAGTACACATGTCAGAAGTGACACTTCTTTGGCAAACTAATTTTTAAGTCTTGTTCATCTATTATAAAAATCTAAAACTTTTGATTTCCGGACTTAGAGGAGAGAGATTTTCGGTCTTATATAATTTCACTTTAAAACTAACTGTGTCGAAAATTAATACAAATCATTAATTTTTTTTTTTATAAAAAACACGTGGCATTTTAATTTACAATTCGTCATTTGAGATTTTAATAAATTATTTTGCTTAAAATAAAAAAATACTAATACTTCATAAATTCTGTTTTCGAAATTTTAATTTTAAAAACATAAATTCTATAAGATAATTCGCCCTTCTCACTCTCAAGTCGGTCTCAATCGCTCTCTCCCTTTTCTTCGACAAAAACGCTGCACATCTTCGTGACGATAATATTATTATTATTGCGTTTCATCCGTAAAAAAATTACCCTCATGCGCCTAAAGAAGTTTCACTTCAATAATAGTTTTTACGTTATCTATTGATTGATTAAATCATCATCCTCATGCTTTTAATGAACAGCAAAAATCTAACTAATTTATGAAATTTATACAAATTTGCAAATATTGTTAAATTTATATTAACTATACAATTTCACTATTAAGGTAATTAAACACAGATTCAATAACTTTTCAAAGTGCACCTCTGCGCCATTGTTACCGGACATGAAACAACAACATGTGCTCAGCTTACGTGATACAGGTTACACAATGCTAACGATTAATTTAATCTGTTATCCTCGATCTATATCTTATAAGAGAAATGGCTTTGAAAGGTTTAAATTAAACTATAGTATAGTATGTGCGTAACGTTTCGTTTCACTCTTGAAAGTTGCCGCGATTTACGAATTAACTTAGTATTTCAGCTGTACCACATTCGTAGTATATTAAATCATTAATTAATGTAGGAACTTAAATTTAACCCAGCCAGAATGTTCTAGCCTACAAATAAAATCAAATTGAAAGAAAAATTAAGCAACTGTCACCCACACCATGCTACACATGGTGTACAGCCCCACACCATGCACTCATGGTGTGGGTGAGTATAGTATAGGTGATGTTAACATAATTAAAGTGTCGTGTGCGAGATACGTACAAAGTCGTAACGTAAGTTGGACACTTGTACATAGGGCTTCCAGTTACTATTGCTTAGGTGCAATATTTTAAAGTTTTATATTTTAATGTATAAACAAAATCAAATCTATACACGCTACTGATTATAAAGTATTTTTTTTAATTTATTGTCAAGTTTAACAAAAAATATAATTAATGCGAAATAAATAAAGTATATTAAAACGTTTTGTAAATATTATATCAACCCATCATGCGTTTTTTCTGACCTCATTAGAAAGACCTCAGAAGAAGTTAGCCTCTGAATTTTCTGCTCGGCTAATTTCTTGTGTATTAAACATAGCAGTTCAGCGAATGGGCTGGATTGAATTATGGGTGCACGCAAAAGTATTACTTTTAATAGAGATCTTATAGCTTGTTTCCACATGCATGGACACATTGTGAAGGGATGGCGCAACTGGAAGCGTGTTAGTCTTTCACATGGTCCATGGTATTTAAAACTGGTTAGGCACAGAAAGCATATTTCTTGCCTTTAAATTGCGTGTTGTTCCCACGTGAGTGCTCTTTTTCACATCCTCCTTATAGAGGACAAATTTTTTTTTAATTTATTTTATCTTATATATATATTTTTGTGTGTAGTGTTGACTGAACTTCTCTCAAACGACTGACCGATTTTGATGAAATTTTTTGTGTGTTTCAAGGGGTCTGGGAATGGTTTAGATTACAATCAGCCCGAGATGGCACTGAGTCGGTACTTTCATACTTTGCTTAATATCCTAATCGCTTTAAATATCATGCTGGACAACGTCTGTGGGGTCCACTAGTTATTATTTATTACTTAAGATGTCATGTGAAACATGGTGTAATGGTTGCAGCTCCTTACAAACGTTGTGTAAAACACAAAACTTAACGATTAAAAAGAGTGGCGGAGAGTTTATTGCCAGTTCTTCTCTTCCGTTCTACGCCAGAAAAGAAAAATTTTGAGATGGTTATCTATATGAATCAATGGTTTTGACTTTGAATTTAAACAAAAATAAAAGTTCACCTAATAGATCCGAAAATATGAGGTCTAAGAGCTCTTGTTAACGAACGTTTTTGTCAACGGGTAACGAGCCGACGCAAAACGGCTACCGTTGTACACGATACGCTAATATAAGTGAACGCTCCGTTGTTGTCGATATCAGTTCTATTAAATTTGAAGGGAGAAGTGCACGAGTGATATTATTTATCAGATAATGTCTCAAAATCTTCATTTACATTAGAAGATTTCTTTCCTTGCCGCAAAATTTTTTTTATTTTTGTAATTTTCTATAGTTTTGTCCCATAACATAGGCCTATTCTGAACAAGGCTAATTAATAAATCCATATCAATGGTAAACTCCATATTCACAATGAGCAAGAGGGTAGGTAATAGAAATATAAACGTGCGCAATCCGTCGTCGTCAACACACTTCTATGAAATGACATAGTTCACTGCATCGGACAGTCCGCCGTGGCGCTGAGGATCAACGTCCATTTGAGTCACGTTGCAACGGTATGAGCCCGTCGGTTAACAAACATTCACTCAACTTACTTGAACACTGCACGTCGGCCCGTCGCCGTTATAAAATCGCCTTGTCCGTTGTCGTTAACAAAAGCTCTAAGGGTTATAACTCATAAGTACCTAAAACTTTACAGTACTTTCGCGGTGGGCTGGGCGATTGTGTATTCGGATTTGTCTACCTCATGGAGCTATCCACTCCATTCGTTTCGCTTCGAGGCATTCTCTCCCGTCTTCAACTCAAGAAGTCTCCAGTTTACGTGTACAATGGACTGGCGATGTTGGCCACCTTTCTGGTGTGTCGTGTACTGAGTCTACCGTATGTGTGCCTGCTCTACAGTCGAGCTGCTAGTATGACGTATTTTGAGGTAAGGTAACATGACTTACTGAGAAAATATATAATATTTATTGATCTTTCTAGGACTGTATGTTTTGTAATAGCAGCAAGCAATTTCGTTAATATTATATTATAATAAAGCAATTACGTTTTAAAACTCATGCTTATGCTATGCCAGAACTCAACAAAATTGGTTCAGTTACTTGTGAACAAGACATTTTTTTTAGATAAACTAATAGTGTTTGCTATAGTAGTAAAGTTTTTCCCACAGGCTATAAAATCCCTACCCACGGGTTGTAAGGTATCCATCTGCATCTTACTCTTACCCCAGATTTATTGGTTCTACCTCATGTCAGCTGGAGCTCTGAAACTCTTCTTCCAACGAGTCCCCGTTAAACGTAGTTGATTATACAATATTCCTCTGATTTAGATTTTAGGACGTTTAACGCGCGTATGATGCTCGCATGCGTTAATATATAATGTATTCGCATAAAGCATGTTGAGCTGTAGGCTTATATTACAATACAATAACCTAGTCCCTATAAACGCTAATAATATACACGTCAAAATACGTACTCATACGCTACCAACGTATACGTACAGTTTGTGACTATTTCGAATGTGACGCCATATGAGAGGTCTCAATACGTTAAACCTTGAAAAGGAGATAATTGACATTTGAGAATATCTTATGGTAATGCTAGTCTGACGATGTATTAATTGAGAATTTAATATTTCGGTTTTATCAAGTTGTGTTTATAGCTTACTTAATAGTTAAAAGAGCAAATTATTTTCTTATTTGGCTTTCTAAATGAATCTGAATTCTATCTCTTTCTTGCACGATAAAATATTTATGGTAATAACTACGAGGTTCCAGCATAGTATTATTTGTTAGTGGCACAAATTGTCTACCTTGAATGATAGTGGAAGGTCGAATACGCATTACCTATTTATTGCTCATACAATTTATATACAAAGAAACGCACTAGCCGTTGAAATTGTATGAGAAATAACATCCGCTTGTATACGGACTATGCTACGTACCTTTTTGTGGGAATAAGCTTTGTGTTAGACATTTCTCGTGTAGTTTTCAAATATTTCTTAGTATTTTCTCGTAATAACCTTTTTATTACACGATGAGCTTACAAAGTTCATTAATCTGAGCTTATATTATCGAATATTAACAGTGTTAATCATAGACTATTATTTCTGGTTACCGATAATTAATAATATACCAATTGTTATATTGTATATAAAACTCATTAATGTGAACATTGAAGCCACTAATTTCCTCATGTTTCGAACCATACGGAGTATGAAATTAGTATAAGGCTTTTTATGATAACGATGGTTCAAAGTGGTGTCATATAAATATAAGAAAATGGTTTAAGAGGCTCTGCAGTAAGAATTTGAATTACGACCGGAAAGATAATTGGGGTTTTCACCTTGAATGATTATTTTGATGTAATAGTAGTGATTTACAAATTAGCCAAAAACAAAATTCGAAATTGTGAAACAAAATTTATTGTTCCTGAATTAAAATTATTTTGGATCTGTAATCAAGGATTATAATATTTTAGTTAAATAATTTCATAAGTGCTTATGATATTAAATAATATATGTATTTAAAATATTTTCCTTATAAATGATACAGATTTCGAAATTTGTAATGGCTAACGTCCGCATTCGTAACTGAACTCAACATTCCATTAAACTTGGGATCGTGATTTCGAACGCTAGGTTGTCTAATCGGACAGTTACCTGTAGAAGCCGAGTGAAACTATGAAAACCAATTGCTATTTACGAGCCGTAGATTTACCTATAAAGAGAAGAGCTGTGATTGATTCCAAGCCATGACTTTCTACATAAGAACTTACGAAATTTACGTACGTACGTACGTACTAAGTACGTACGTACGTACGTATGTAGTCCTTCGTGTACGTACGTCCAGTAAGACAAATCAGTGTGGCGCATGTAGAAATAGTTGTTTCACAATATCAAAAACATTATTACCGATTTTGAAGTACTTTAATCCAAATTAACGGTATAAGTCACTTAGAGCTTAAAAATTATTTGTTGTTCAAAAGTAAATTACTAAAGTTATAGGCCTAGCGTTTGTTAAAATTTCATAGATTTATTCTGTGTTTGAAGCACTGTTTTCATTTCTTTGAGTAAAAGAGTATATAATTGCTTGTTTTGTGAACTTTTTTAATATAAATTGTTTCGATGGCTGTGTAGGCATGTCAAGGTTTTGGTTATGGTGGATAACAGTGGTTTGGATAATAGATAGATAGATAATAATATAAAGGAATAAAAATGTGTTAGTATTTAGTTCTTAAACTGATTATAATGCTATGGTGTCTTTTTGCAATGCAGTAATACCAGTATTTTCATTTATTGCGTTTACTTACATTTATATTCTTTTACTTTGAATAGCATCGTTTTTTTACACTTTATATAAATTTCAATACCATTTATGGTGATATTATTTTTAATAATGACGCACAACACTACCAGTGTAGTATAGCATATTCAAGTTATGTGTCCCTAATCTGTCAAAACCAGAAACCACATTTTATTAATGTTAGAAAAAAAATGACTTAAAACCATATCTCACATAGGACAGGGCAGATAAGTTTGTATTCATATGATCAATAAAAGCCTTATTTATAAGAATTATAAATAATTCTTCCATTATTTGCCAAGTCAAAAAAGATAGAGGAGTTCGCATAAAACTTGTCTTTGAATATTATCCGCATTTCGCTTTAAAGCTTGAAAAAAATACTGTAATGATTTTTAAAATTTGTTTTATACTGCTTGACGTCACAACGTACTTTCCGACCACCTTGGCCACTATTTATTGATATAACGGGTATATACGAGGTAATTCGAAATGTCTTATGAATATTTGTAAATCTATCGTATAGTTGCTTTACCAACGCACCTCTAAAGCTTTTATAATTTAATAATTAATATAACTATTATATTTTAGCAAATTTATCTAATGCTTATAATTTTTAATGTTGGTAAAGCAATTTTGTGAGTGTAGAACATTGTGTTAGGTCTCTAACGATAGATTAATGTATAGAACGGTGCTTTCTTATCGTGTTGTAGTTGTATTGGATGTCTAGAGCTAACTTTGCCCCAATCTTCTAATAAGCTTGTTAAATTATTAAAAAAATTGAATTTGCTAAAGTAAATTTTGGAATTACGTACAATCAACGATAGACAATTATCACGCGACTGTCTACATTTTTATTGAGCACCAAATATAAGTTATTTTCTTAAAAGTCTAGTAATTTCTAAATAAAACATCGCTTTTGCCTGTGGTACCTACCTATTATTTTGAGATGGGTATTCGTGTCCTTCGTATTCTTAAGCGCTTGATTTAACTTAGACATAAAATAGAAAGAATCAGTTCGAAAAAATTTGATTGTATGATAAAAGCTGAATAGTAAATATTAAATTCGGGTAAAGTTAGCGATTTGTTATTTGTATTAGATCTGAGTGGGTTAAGGTAACGTTTTCCTCTATGATGATACTTCCACTTATCACTTTGCATTTTATATTATTTTATGAATATATGTTAGATGGATTTTATAATTATGCATTTTTTCACATTAAACATAATTTAACTGTTGCCAATAGATATAAAAGAAAGATTCCATCTAATATTAATTTACAGCTGTGATTGCATTAATTTTAATTGAAAATATGAAACTGTATATGATACAAACGTGGACGGAAAGAATATTGGAATGCAAAAATTAAAACATTTAATTTGTATCTAGTACTAAAATTGTAGACTAAACCAGTCTAATATTTTTACGTTATTTCGAAATTACCAGAGACAATAAAAAAAAACATTTAAAAAACTAATACAATAAAGCTTTGCTATAACGAACAAATAATTTTTTATTAGTTCCAATATTTTTCACGTTATGAATAATATGAAGAAGTATCGCTTTTTATTTAAATGTTATATACTAATTTAGTATCGACTATTGAAGGAGGCCTTTATTTTTATTTATTTTTGTGGATGTTTTAATAAAATATGTATAATAAACGTCTGCGGTTTTATTTTTAATATCCCTGCTAAGATCATTGATATTTCCTTTTTGGTTCTCTATCTTAATATATATAAATTACGCGTCACGTCGTTTGTCCGCTATGGTCTCCTAAACTACTGAACCGATTTCAATCAAATTTGCACACCGTGTGCATCTTTGATCATTGATCACATTGTTCTAACTTAAGAGATAATATTATAGCTTACATCTTAATTTATACTCTCAATATTATTTTATTGCAAAATATTTGTTTATTATTTTTATTTAGTCACAATTCTAACAGATGGCGCTGTGTTGAAAGTACCAACGATTCACATAGGTAAGCTACAATTTAATGGCATAAACACCAAAAAAGCATGGTGGTCCCCTTGACTGGAGTTCTCCTACCGTTTCCCATGAATAGTTTGCTACTATGTAATATAACAGAAACCTTAGCCACAGCAACGCTTGGCCTTAGCGAGTCTGCTAGTACTATCATATTTTTTACTTTTCTTAAGTTCAATGAGAAAAAAATCTAATTTAACTAAATTATTGACGGTAGGGATAATAATATCTAAAAAATGAAACCAATCAGAAAAGTGTAATAAAACACAAATACTCTGTCTTTGGCTTATCAAAACTGCTTAACGGATTTTTTTTTCATTTTTACAAATAAATTACTCGTCGTTACGTCAAATAAATCATAGTTTATGATATATAAATAAAAAAGTTACATTATTTCCAGATATTTTCCAATAATATAATTCATAATTATTTCAAAACTCATGAATGCAAATTAATTTTAGCTTGGTGGCTGAGTTATCTACTGTTATACGATTTCTGATAACAATTTGTTTTATCTGGTTAAGGTTTCGACTGGGTGTCGGAGGATTTCAGGATATAATTAGAGACTATTGTTAAAATTAAACAATAAACTTCAATAAAAGGGCTCTAGGTACTTTGTGGTGGGCTATAAAGTATGTTATGACAGGTGTGAAATGGTGATACACGTATTTAGTATTTTACTGTAAACTGTTTCGTCAATAAATAATATATATTTCTGGTAAATAGTTTAATGAATTAAAAACATCGCGTATTTGGAATTAAAATTATTCAATCGGCAAATATTTGATGTGTTCGATTTCCTTAGTTTTTCCAGCAACTTTCTTGTATTTCTTTAAGTTGACTTCCACTCGTACCTTGACCTGTAACTTCTTCAATAGTTCGGAGATATCGTCATCATCATCATCGTCATCCTCCTCCTCCTCCTCTGGAGTTTCATCTGGCTTTTCTGGTTCAGGTGTTGGCTTGGGGGTGGTTGGTGCTGGAGTAGGCTCGGGGGTTGGTTCTGGAGTAG